TTGTTGTCCACCTTTGTATGGCTCCAAATGTCTCGTCTTCATCTCTATAACAAACCACACGACGACTGCAATCAACTTCATTGGAAAATGGCAAAGTGACGAGAAATAACATGTTTTACAAGGAGATAAATAACAGATGCTTGCGCAACCAATGCTACGTATTTTAATGTAAGTGCAAAGTACCAATATCTTTTACGAAAATCTGCAAAGAAATAACAGGTGTGATGTGGCCTGATTTGTATATGCGTATGAAATGAAACTGGCTTCCACTACACATTTTATTAATTTACGAGTTTCAAACACAATCAGAAATTTAGTAGATAGAAGGAAAAAGTTGTACTAAAAATTAAGTTAACTATAAAAGCATTTCAATAACAACACCTTCTTTAAAGTGGAATGCTTGTAGTCCGAACTAAAACAATCTTCCTGTGAATTCTGAAATTATTTAAACACTAAAATTTGCAATGTCTAACTGCCATAGTTTATTAAACAGCTGTCGACCTGCAGTATGACTTACGGTTGTGTCCGTTAATATTGAACACTGCACTTATAGAACGGCAATAAAAAGTTATAAGTTTAAATTTGTACATACATGTTCCGGTTTTCTTCTATGATGCTTTTGTATTTTGTCTCTCATGTCATGGAAATATTCCCGCGTCGTGATGTCATAGAGTTTACCAAGTTCCTTTTCGTTAACGGATGACGACAAGTACCGTGATGTTAGTTCGCCTAATTACCAAAAAACACTTTACCTCATATACTGCCGTAAATCCTGCACTTCTGAAGTGCTTTTTTCGATTAAGTCCCAAGTAGTGTGAAATAGCGGGTAACTTCAGGTTTTATGACATATAACAAACTATAGCGTATGGACTTTTTGAGATTATTGCCCACTAGCCGCGTCAACAGGGGATTTGAATTAATAATCCAGTGAATTTAGTAGACTTACAAATTTTTCCCTCATGTCTTCTTGCCGAAGGCATGCATCCAACGTTCGCAATTCCTTTTCAGACGACAAACGGAACTGCAATTTCGATAGTACAATATCAAATTTACGTGAACGTTCACGCTCATTAGACTTAGAAATTAGCTGCATAATGTCTGCATTCAAGTCTGATGATATTTTCTGCTATACAGCATGCAGTTTGTCGAATCCTAAGCATTAGCTTCTATCGGAAACATGACATACTCTGCCACCAACGCACTGCCCGCACGTTTCGATTCGGACGTTGGGGGTGACACACTCAACTGTATCGAACTAATTTAATAACATTTTAAAATGAAATATGCCTACTTCGCTATTGATGAGATAATAGTGTCCAGTAACCGGGATTTAGGATATTGAAAGGGACTCTCCAGCCCACATCTTGACAACATCCATGTTGACGAAATTATCCAGAAACCATTCTTTCCGTCTCAGTTCACTTCTACAAAACATTAATAAGATCACTACACTGGCCTCTTCGGCTTCTCTGCGTCTAGTATAAGGTGTTTTCGTCTGTTAAACTTCTGACACGGTAATCAGCTAAATTGTTGAACGAAACTAACAAATTCTTTGCAGTCCGTAAATTATCTACAGGAAATGAACTTCTCTGTATTGGTAACTCACCACAGTAGTGGATGACCTTGCACTTTAGAATTGACTAGTTATCATTTTCTTGGGGACTGCTCTGCTGGTGCATATCAACAAAGTCAGTGGGATACAGACAAAGTTCTTTGCCTACTGTCCACTTGTTAGCTGCAATTAGGACCTCCCTCCTGTTTGGTGCGTTGATAAAACGAATTGATATTAGTAGGCTAAACAGTATATAAAAGGCCGAGAATCGGTTTTGACTAATACCATCAGCAAGAATAAAAAAATCATATATTCACATGAACGTATGTAGCAATGGACCGGTTATTCCATTATTAACACAGTTAACGGAAATATATTTACAGTCAACATCGGTAATGGAAACTCATATGTGCTCATGACTAACTATCAAGCACATAAATATAGCTGTCACTAGAAGGGAATGGTTCCGCGAAATAATCACCTGGGTCCATGAATGGTCTAAGTTTAATTATTACGTTTTCCTCTATATCATTGACTAAACCGGGTTTACTGTGTACTGTTATTATGTTATCAGGCGCAAATCTAGTAATTCTAGTGCTATTCAGCATTATTTGTTTTTTTTTCGGTTTCAAACTTGACGGATGTTTATATAGTAGTGACCGAAATGGTAGCTGAAGGAGTATTTTCGACACGAATTGAGATTAATTTACTTATATCTATATTTATTTATTTAAACACATAATCATTGGTACAAAAAAGCAGGAAATAGATATGCGCCACACAAATCATTCGGTTTGTGTGAAGGGTGGGATACTGCCCGGGTGTCCAGACCAAAGCAGGTGGTTTTCTTAAGGGGCCACACTCCGAGCCTTTGACCTAAAGGTCTGATCCACAAGGCAGTGGAGCATCGTGAGGAGATGCAGTCCCATGGTAGCCGGTGACCAACGATTGGTTCATACGCCATTTGTTCCCTGAGGATACTGGGGCCCATGTGCACCATTGGTTTGGGGTCCGGTTAAAGCGCCGGACGTTCGCTTTTCGTCCTCTCAATTTCGTAAACAACACCCGTGGTGCGAGAAGGCAGTGAGTAGGACTTCCCTGGTAGAGGCTATATACGCGTGGCCATGTGAAAGCGTTTGGAGAGGGAGAGCGGACTTTCCCCACTCGGCCGTACCAGGGCATTTGGGGGTACCTAGCCTGTCGCATGCCGTGATGGTGTTCTCGTAACTCTCGGGTTGCCTGATCTGCCTAGGGCGATGGGATAGTGCATGATGCTATTGTTGTGTTCTAGGTTCAAAGAGAATTGTATGTTATATGCATGCAAATCCGTCCCGTTATTGTTCCTATTATTTATATCCATAAATAAAGGTTGGTTGATATTTCTAAGTCTTTTGTGCTAGAAATCTATCCATAGATTGATTAGTTTCTTCATCACACTTAAGTATGCCATGTGCATAGGATTCATAGGAAATGTTACAATCATATTATTGGCAAGTGTCTCGAGATTGGAACGGCCTTACTGGTGAATTGGCCGGCTCTGCTGAGGAAAACTGTCATCAGATCGCAATGTAACTTCGGAAATGACATTGGGACTTTTCACTTACATGAAAATACGTAACAATCATTGCTCAAGTATCTGTCTGTTACTTATCTCCTTGTAAAACATGTTATTTCTTATCAAAACGCTGTCGTTTTTTAATGTAGTCGATAACTATCATTGAATTATCATCAATTACCAAACACAAATTGACAGCCTTTGTAATACATTTACCGTGTTGTCACTGAGTCTAAGCAATCTTTCTTCACAGTGTTGGTCAAACGCAGTTGCTGATTATCCTGAACCGGGAGACTTTGTGCTTCGCAAGTAATAGAAAGCTGCTCTCACTCATAAACCGTGTACTCGATCCTTTGAAAACTGGCAAAAGTTACGGCAGCATCGTAGATGAGCCAGGTTGGCATAGACTTCTGGGCTTAAAGCTGGTAGTGTTTTCGGGTTTGATGTTCCTGCGCCTCATTGGGGCATCGAATAATGATAGAGATCAATATTTCAGACATCATCCAAAGGCCTCCATCTGATTTTGCAACCTCAAATGATGTTCTTCAAGACTGTTTTTTATCTCAATTTTTTCCAGCTTCATCATGGACCTACTGATGGAAATAACGTTCTTGTCGTCTGAATTTTCGGTCATCGATCTCCTACCGGGAGGTCCACTTATCGACTTGGAATACGCAGATGAAATAGTCTTGTTTGGTGAAGACATTGATAAAATGCAGAGTCTTTTGGTAGCACTAAACGACAATGCCAGAATGTTTGGAATGCGCTTCTCTCCCTCTAAATGCAAGTTGTTGCTTCAGGACTGGCCTGCGTCAACACCTGAACTAAGGATAGGGAGTGAAGTAGTCGAACGTGTTGACAACTTCACTTATCTTGGAAGTCTGATCAACCTTAATGGGTTGGTGTCTGGTGAAATCTGAACGGATTCAGAAAGCTTGTTTGGACGAGTATACTGCACAGCAGTTCATTCTGTCCTACTTTACGGCTGCGAAACATGGCCATTAAGAGTAGAAAATACTCGTAAGCTACAAGTATTTGACCACATATCTTAGAAATATTGCTCACGTCTTCTGGGATCACCTGGTAAGTAATAGTGAGGTTAGACGCAGGGTATTAGAGAATGATGGTAAATCAGTTGATAAGGTTGTGAATCTTTATCGACTGAGTTGGTTGGTCACGTGTTATGTATGCATGAACACCGATTACCACGACGTGCAATGTTAACCGGTGTTGGAGATGGTTGGAAGAAATTTAGGGGCGGCCAAACCAAAATATGGCATCAGTCATCGAAGTCACTAACTTCTGGTTTGAGCTATGTTGGTAAATGCAGACTACTACTACTTTTAATTAATTTCATCATCCATACTCTCTTAAAGGGACTTATCTACCCGAGGCACGCATATAATAGTTTTGTTTTTTAATTCTATCTGACTGTATAAGTAAGTACTTGAGCGCATCAGTCACCTCATTTATTTTAGAAGTCTTAAATTTAAAGGGTTATAGACTATAAAAATTTCGACACATTCTATAAGCTTTACTCAGCTTTTGCCACTTTACGCCAACTGTAGCACAAGCAAAACCTTTCACTGTTAAACGGATCAATTGTGCATAGTCGTGATATTACTCGACTTCGTAAATTGAAGTTACTACTTTGAGTTTAAACGCGGTAGTTCACAAACAGTTACCTAAAGCATTTGATAAGGAAGTACATAATTTTTCATACATATATTTATATCACGTTTTTATTCTTAAATTATTTGACTGGAATTTCAAACCCTTTCTCTCCTAATTTGGTTTAGTTAACCGGGTACAACAGTTGAATTGTCATATTTTCCTATGAAACTAAATATATTCTTCGTATGATTCCAGGTAATAAATAATACACAACAATAAATGAGTGTCTGGCGCAGACTTCAAAGGGTTGGAAAAAAAGCAGCTAAATTTCAGATCACTGCTTCTTTGCATGAGCTGAATATTGAATGCTCGCGTCAATACAGCCCCGGAAACTTAATAGTTGTTTGGTCTCGTCGCAGTCGGCGATATTCTTCGAAAGTAAATCATATGTTCATCATTAACTAGTTTTAGCTTTTGTAATTTATTTTTAAATTAATTCGTTTGTTAATGGTCGGTTTGCTATGTAACAAATATATTATTTTGATTGGGATCTTGAACCGATTGATGTTAGACCACCGTTGGAAATCTGGAAGCACTGGATGGCCGTTTCGTCTCATTGTGGGACTCCTCAGCAGTGCGCGTCCACGCTCCCGCTCGCGGGATTCGAACCCAGGGTCTTCAGTCACGCGCGCGAACTCTTAACCTACTGGACCACTGACCCGGCATCCAATGGTGTTAGTGTTGCCCGACCATCTCCCGTTGTACTGAGGTAGATACCTGTCTCTACCCGACACGAATTAGCTCCACTGGTCACGGCTTTTACTGAGAATAAGCGGACGATTTATATATATACTAGAACGAGATGGCCGTCCAGTGCTTCCAGGTTTCCAACGGTGGTCTAACATAAATCGGTTCGTGATCTCAATGAAAAACTTAATAATCTGCACAACCCCTATACTAATAAATATATTATTTGTCTAGTAAGCTTCAACTCCGGGATTTAAATGAGTGATAATCTGTACGCACTATGTGTTCCAACACAATAAGCATGACAATTACACGGAAGGAAAAACTGCCTTCAATGTTAGTTATCTGTTATTAGATGTTTTATCTATTAATTCAGATTTTTCAAATAAATTCAAACTAAGAAGATAGAGGCTTAGATCACTCAAAACGCGATCTATTGTACTAAATTCTGTTTAATGAGAATTCACGTCCTAATTCGTGAATGAGTTTTGAAATACCACTGGATAGGTTTTGGGTGGTCTAGTCAAATGTGTTTATTTTAGCAGTTGATGATATCGAATAGCGTAGTCATCGTTTTGTTTCATTGATTTGAGGCTCTAGTAATGAACAATAATTTTCTGAAAATGTCACTTTCCTCGAAGTTGAGCTGAAGGTAATCTTTGTAGTTCTTTGTAATGTGATCACTAGTATTTCACCACCAGTTTCTATAAAAGGACATTAGTACCATACTTTTAGCTTGCAGATGGATGAAGTGAAGTTTACCAGATAAAAGATTTTTTGATATGCTGAATTCACTTGTTATTGAAGTTGTATTACGTACCGATATCTTTTTTATTATATGTTAGACTGAAATCTAATAAGGCTATTCGAAAGCTGTACGTATCCAAAATTGAAAAACCTGTAAATTCAAATTTTTTCAGTATTCCAATAGTGATATTTTTAGTTTCCTACTGTCCTACTTTTTTTTAAACTTTGTAGCGAGCCATCTTTAAATATTTTCATAAGTTATTACCACTAAAAATGTTTGGAGATAGCTCACAACAAATTTGAGAAGTGAAGATGATTTTTCAAAATAACATACATGGAAAACTGTCAACATCGGGGGCGAATAACGAGAATCACGAACATATGAACCTCCTCGTCTCGCTTTGCTATAACGACTTCACTGATTTTCCATTTTTTTCACTTCTTACTTTTCAGATCTATTTAGTTTGATTGCATCAAGAACAGTTTTAATTTTCCAACCATATATTATTTCTGTTAAATTTGACGCTCATAGATTTGAAATTTTTCAATAGAATAACAAATATTACCTGGGATTTTACTTATTTCTTTTCATGCAATTCGATCGAATTTCCATGCGTTCAAAGTTGGATCAGGAAAAGCATGGCTTAAACTGCAATTAATGGAACATTTTCTTTACGCTCTCGACTGTTAGAGTCAATGATATTATAGGTAGCAATGCCAAGTTTGGACTTGATAGTTGAGGATTGAGTAGAGAGTTAATAGTAAATATGTATTTTGTTATATCTCAATGAGTAGAAAAATTGTATTTCTCACGTTTTGTGACTTAATATACGCCACTTCTTCAGAGTAAATAAATAACCGAAATTAAACAAAACTTGGAGAAATTAACCGTATGGACCACATCTACTTGCTCCCATATAGTGTCATGTTTGAGGTTGATGAGGCGTTGAAGTCCTGTTGTTGCTATCTGTTTTGTCATTTTAAGATCTTGTCCGACAAATTATGGAACTGTGCATCGGTATATTCACAAGACAAATTCCGTCATTTAAATTGATTAGACGTTTTGTATTGGCTTTAAATCTTCCACTTTCTCTATGAACCTTACCGATGTATATATATTTTACAATCATCAGGAGAAGACCCCAACTTTTAAATGCATCAATAACACAAACATAACACCGAGTAGGTAGACTCTAGTGGATTGTACCAATAACGAACTTGAGCGCTCCCCTTGTACTTTATGTATCACTGAACTGTGGGAATATTATTACTTAAAAAACACAACTCTTTATTCAATTTAGAAGTATAGCGAGAAAGCAGTTGAGTGATATTTGATGATTATTCCAAAGGTAATAGATTATTCAGTAAGGTTATTCAAACCACGTAGCAGTGTGAGTTAAAATACAAATTTGAGAATTTTCTACTTCATCGATCAACAGCCTAAAATGCTTATTTCTAATTTAGTCAGTTTTTTCAAAAAAACAATAACTTGCCAAAATACGATAGATTTGTTAATTTCTGCCTTAAAATGTCTAATAAATCTAGGGTGAATAGAAATCGGTGGCCAATAAGTTATGTGTGTTGTGTTTAGAGATTGAACAGATCAAAACTCTACTACTACAGAAGTCCGTACTATAATCTAAGCAACCAATTAGTACTGGTATGTTGTTTATCAATCCAATAACTGCCATCCATTCATCATAAAAAACAATATACTGTTAGAAAATAATCGTTATTACTACTTTTTAAGATATTTATATTTATTTCTTTCCCAGTCATTTGAACCTGTTAAAAGTTCCAGCAATTCAAATTCATTTAAATATGTTTGGTCTATGCCGGAGAATATAGAATTCGTCACTACTTTATATAGAAATGAAAAAGCAATTCAATTTGAAGAAAAAGAATGGATATGTCAAATCGAAGATGTAATTAGTATTTTCTTTATTATTTAAATAAACTATTTCACCATCTCAAGTAAATAATTCGTGACTAGCAGATCTGACAGAAATCCAATTTTAGTATGCATGTGTTATGAAATCTGTTATATGATAATCTGATTATCGTCTTTATTAAACACCACTCAACTGATAGTTGATGTTGTTATTCATAACATTTATATCCTGTTCCATGGATGTAGAGAGTTAAGCTTGTAAATTTGAGTGTACTAAACATTTTTGCTTTGTTCTTTTGTCCTATTTAAACTCGGATTAATTAAATTTGTTTATCTATTTATTTCCTGAAGAAGTGGCTTACCACGAGTCACAAAACGTCAGAAAATCTAATTCTTCTACTCATTAAGATATCATTAGTCGTATTATTAATTTGTGATTAAGCCGTAAGTTTATTTCCTAGTTGAGTGAATCAAGAAAATGTGATAGGTTTGAAAGATTCCTGCTATCTAGGTTTTATTGTTTATGATCGCTAAGTAGCTATGTATATTTAGGTAAACAAGTATCCTTTAAGCTTTTTTCAGTTGATTTGATTTGACGTATTCATCCTGATTTATCAACCTCACACACAATATGTGGAATTGAATTTAGTGTTCATAAAGCGCTTGTAAATGTTTTGGAATTCCTGGTGTAAAAACCAATTACTATCAGCTGTGTAAATAAAATCTAAAATAATTCCTACTCCTGCTTGATGGCAATGTTTCCTCTTATGTATAATTTAATAATAAAAAATAAAGATACCTGTTCACTTTTGCCTTACCTAAGCTTATTCGTCATGTGATAAAATCTTATTACTAATTAATATCAACATCTTTATGATATTAAATTGAAGATAAAACTCAAACATTTACACCATGCAGCTGTCGTTTTACTAATATTAAGTCTTTCACCTTTCCGACTAACTTTGTTAGTGTGTCTTACAACAATTTGGCAACTCAGACATTTAAAAGCATTAATATGGAGTCTTCAGTGATAACGACTGTCCATCAAAATACATATTTATTACGCTTATTTGTGACAATTCAAATTTGCCTGGTTTCAGTTTTCATTTTAATTGAAATAAAGCTTTTTGGCAACTTTTCATGAAGTCTTATCGATAAAAATTGGACATATATATTCACTAACAATCTATCAAACAGAGATCTTGTTTTCTTAATGTTCAAAATAAGAAGACAGTTTATTTATCTATTATTTGGTCTTGAATTAAAAACAGTTTCAGGAAGTTTGGATAAACACAGCTTCTTATTAGTTTTATTTCTTCAAAAGGGGTATTTAGGTAGTAAAAATCTTTCGAAACTATCAGATATAATTGAAACTCGTAAAAATGCACTACAGTGATGTTCGTGATCAGTGTTTTCAGCTTTGGATTTATGTAACGTGACGGTGATTATTCCATTAGGTGTACATTTTTGTTTTATTCTGATTTCGTTTTCAGGTTGGAGCTAAAACTTCAGGTTTACTTTCGGCATCTACACCATCGGTTAGACGACGTGTCCTTGCTACCAGACAAATCGATATAGCCGAATTCGTCTCAGATTTACCCGTGCAAACAAATCTCAAAGTAGTCATGCGTCTCGCTTCTAAAAAGTTAATATCTGCTACAGTTCTCCTTACGTTAAATTCCGTTATTGTAAAAGCTGGAGAAGCCACGTTAGTTGTTTTTAAAATTAAATATGCATGTTGTTGTTTTATTCATAAGATTATAAGTAAGTGAGATTTTATTCCACTAAAATTAGTTGTTAAATCATTTGAGTCACTGCTTTTTAAAGCTGTTAACCAATCGCTAATGTTTACTTCAGATTGTATAAATATTTTACATTGTCAGTGTATTACGAAACATCATTTTACGCAACCGATAATGTAAAACGATATATCCGAATATTATTAATGGAATGTAATATCTCACACCGTAGTGAGCTGAGTTTAAAACGAAGTCCTAAATTTTCTTAATGAATGGATGGATCATCAGTTGATCTGAGGTAGACAAGCTTTACGAACCAAAAAGGATTGAGCAGCTGTTTCACTCAAGCATAATACTTCTCAGTCAACTGGGTTTCGAACTCTAGACTTTCAGATCTCAGGACAGCCTCTTAAACTTTAAACTACTGGTCGCAAATTTATCAAAGTTGAACATGTAAACCACTGTAGGATAATGATAAGCTAACATTAATTTGAAAACCATTGTGTTTAAAAGTAGTAGTGTATTCCCTAAAGGATCTTCAAGATATTTAACTGACTTGTATGGTTTTTTTGGGTGCAGTTCAACATTGCCAAAGCCTCAAAAGTCCATTATTTTGACCCTAAAGTGATTTGGAACATTATATATTGGAAGTCATATGGGTGTTGATTGTCCTTGGCTTTATTTAAACTGAGATCTTTTTACTGGGTATTTGTTAGAAATGAAGATGTGATTCTGTCAGTTTTAAACGTTGAACTTAAGCTAGGACATAATATTCTGATTGTTCCTACTCGTACCTTTCATCTCAATATGTCGGTTGAACTTGTCTATCGTAACGACGCAATCAAACCATACCAGCTAGAACGTATGTTCTTTGAGACTACCAATTCAGGCTCGTATGTCGGATAGTGGTAAAACTGAAGGGAGAAAATTTGAGTTCCTAGGGCGAAGTCGTATTTTGGTGCGTGCTACTTATATTGACATAAGTAGTATATAACGCGAGTCAGGAATGTTATGTCTGGTAGCTGAAGATTGGGAAGATCAAGGAAGGAAGAACGGGAATAGAAAGCAATTAGTATGGAAATGCAAGAACAATGAAGTCCAACACAATTATTGAACATTTTGCAAATTAGGTATTATAGTATGTTTATTCTATTTTACCAAGTAACTCTGTAATCCTGTGTTAAATATAATTCGGTTGTCCTCAACTATGTTCTCCTTCGCTACAGTATTACCAATTTTAATGGGATATATTTACAATACGGTTTTTCCGAGAGATTGCTATCATCTCCAGTTATGCTGCCTTCTCATACCGCATGTTAGGGGCTAGAGATGGTCGACCCCATAAACCATTTCTTGCTTTCTCTTAAGGATTTTCGATGCACGTGGGAACATTTGAAGATGTAGTTAATACATAAAATAGTTGTTCATTGGGTTCTGCGATCACGCTCTCAGGTCATCAATCCTACTGTCAATTCAGCTTCCTCCTCTTGTTTCCGGGTAAATATCCTTCCACTGTATCGGAAGTCAGAAATATACAACCGTTTTCTTGCCTTTAATGGCCTTTGAGATTTTGTTTACACTCGAATCCTTTCTTCGCTTCCTAACATTTCCTCTTTTTCTACTATCATTTACCATCTGTCACTAGTATTAACGTTTCAAACTTACGAAATTCTGTCCGAATTTTCATGAAAGCAAAAGGCTTCTTTGAGTATGTTTGAAACCTACTACCATCGATCTATGGTGCTTTTAAAATACACACATACAGGATCATAGCATGGTAATTCACTTGGCTTTACCTAGTTTATAAGGTGATCCAGTGCGATTTACCTGTTGTATGTCTGAAGATTATCCCGGTCGATAGGAATGAACCAAAATTTTCTTGCCATAACTACATATTTATCATTGACAAATATAGTGTGTAAAATGTTACTTATTGCTACCACAGAACGTTTACCCTAAAGATTGTGCACAGGAAACTTGTAGAAATCAGACTGGTTTCAGATGTGGGATTAAATACACCGGTCCAATTTTCACTTTTTTGTAAGGTTCTTCAACAACGACATAGTTTTGTGGTTTGCACCACGAGTTAATCTTAGACAATGTTAGAAGACCAGAAAGCACTGGATAGCCCTTTTGTCTTAGAGCAGGACTCCTCGACAGTGCACATCCATAACCCAACTGAGGATCGAACCCTGAGTTTTCAGGTCTCGTGGATGTTCTAGTTCTCCCTGGTTTTTAGATGTTGTCTGAGATTAATCCGACCTGTAAACTATGAAATCCAATAATCTTTGAAACATCCTGTAACAAGAAATAAGCAAAGTTACTGACGCCCAACAACGGTGGTGTTTCTTGACTTTTAGGTGGCATTCGACTCTTGCACAGTCGACATTTTTTAAATAAAATTCCATTTATTCCCCCCTTAGGAACGAATCTCTTTTTTGTTATTTTCATATCGAGTCAACAACAGACGATGGACTGTCTAAAGTCTAACCTCTGGTTCACTTTATCATTAGCCCAAATGAAAACATTCAGGACTCGTGACAAGTTTGTTGTACATAAACCTTCGTCTTGCAAGTCATAAATTCATTCATCAGACTTATTATTAGCCTCAGAAGATTCTGTTTTTTTTTCGTTTCTTCTGTAACAATATTCATAACAGGCTGCTTATCACAGTTTCTTGTTGAAAACCCATTCGTTAACTATTTCCACTAGTTTTTTGTGCAACATTTGTTTTAAGATCTAAAAGTTCTGAGCAGAATCTTCCATTGAATCAGATAGTTTCTTGATATATCAAATCAATTATCTCGTCACATTATTTTTGTTAGATTTCCTTAGCTTTTGTGAATTTGTGATGGTATGTACCCCAATTTCACATAAAATCGAGAGTTGTTCTCAATAGATGTTATTAAGAATAATCGAATTCGTTTGTGTATAAAGCCATCTTTCTTTTTATATCTACTAATCCTTTCTTTTATTTCACTCTTTCAGTGATGAAGATATGATATCCATAGCATCACTCATGTCATTAAGTCGTACTGGAAGTTTTAACGTTGGCAGTGGAGTAACTATTAATGATCTAGGTGGTGTCGCAGCATTTTCACCAACAACAGCGAGGCTCTCTAACGTGGATGATTTTAATTCACATTCCTTTTCTAATAGTACTTTTCACACTGATCTTAGTGAATTAACTGCTAAACTACAATCTTTGGAACGACGTCAAATAGATCCCCTTGTAGAATCTCCTATAAAAGCAAACGGAAATTTTTCAGATTATTCTTCAGAATTAGATAATTCCAAAACAACTCTAAATAGTTCGAAGAACCAAGGTAATATGTACATATAGTTATTCTTTTTACAGTTTCAAGCTTGACCGTTACGTTGTGTAGTTGTTGAAGTAACAGTAGCTGAGTTATCTAGAGTAAATCTGATCTGTGTTCTCTAGATGCATGTACATACAGATAACATCAGAGTTCATAAGATGACCAGATTTTGTTCAATATTTTAACTATTACTTGGCATATCAGGTGATTATAAAGCTACAACTCAGTTGACTATTATCGTATGTATATTTTCCTTTCGATTAGAGGATATATTTCTATTCATTTCGTTGTCATACCATGATCTCTAGAATTTTTATTCATTCACTAGTTACGAAATGCGGATCTCGTTTCACCATTCTCATACGATTGGCTGTATGGTTAACCTGTACACATTTGATGTAACTCCTGACGTAGTATTTGTATAACGCAAACAAATAAAAGTAAATATTTACAAAAGTTTATCAATTTAGAGTTTCACACTTCACTACAACGTAGGTTACAGCTCTAGGTAACACCAGACAGCTCTTTATACTCATAAGAGACTGGAACTAAAAAGTCAAGTGTAAGTGAGGCTATCTCGGAAAACGACGACCCTTTTATCTGCTCCCAGCCCAGGCGTTTATAACGATGGGCGGAACACTTTAAGGAGCAGTTCAGCTGGCCTTCATCTACTCTACAACTACTCACCATTTCCAGACAGCGTGAGTAGAACATTGGAGTAGGTCCCCCAACTCTAGCTGAAGTTCACAAGGCTATAACTAATCTAAAACGAGGTAGGGCAGCTGGTCCAGATGGATTGGCTCCAGAGGTCTGTAAGTATGATGGTCCAATTTTAGCGACTAGGTTGACTAATATTTTAGCCAAAACCTGGGGATTGGACGTAATCCCATCTGACTAGTCGCAATCGCTCATTGTCCCGATATATAAGAAGGCATCAAAATCGTCCTGTGTCAACCATAGAGGGATTAGTTTAACTAATATAGTATCTAAAATACTATCTCGATAATTATCAGACGCCTAACTTAGACTCGTGAACTGCAAACACGTATAAATCAGGCTGGCTTCAGACCTGGTCGTGGCTGCATTGACCACATATTCACCATTCGTCAGGTTCTAGAACACAGGCATACTTATCGACGTCCGACAATGGTGGTATTTCTTGACCTAAAAGCAGTATTCCACTCTGTAGACCGACAGGTTCTGTGGCAGTGTCTGTCATTGAAAGGCGTACCTCAGAAGTACATAAACCTACCTTTTACCAACTTGCGTCATTTATGGCGTAGGCGAGATATCCGTCTATCAACCAAAGGACGTGTTTACTGCGCAGCAGTCCGTTCTGTCCTACTTTATGGCAGTAAAACATGGCCGGTAGGAGTAGAGGATATCCGTAGGTTACTAGTATTCGATCATAGGTGTCTTCGAAATATTGCTCGTATATCCTGGGACCATCGAGTAAGTAATGCAGTTGTTAGGAAACGGGTACTAGGTAAGGATGGCAAATCAATTGATGAAGTAGTGAAACTTGATCAGTTGAGATGGCTGGGACATGTGTTACGTATGCCCAACCACCGACTGCCTCGACGTGCGATGTTCAGTGGTATAGGAGTAGGTTGGAAGAAATAACACTCTCGTCGACTGAATTCTCGGGTATTGATCTCCCTTCAGGAGGTTCACTTATCGACTTAGAATACGCAGATGACATAGTCCTGTTTGTTGAAGACGCTGATAAAATACAGTCTTTTGGTAGCACTGAACGACAATGACAAAATGTTTGTGATGCGCTTGGCCCCCTCTAAATGCAAGTTGTTGCTTCAGGACTGGTCTGCGTCAACACCTGAACTAAGGATAGGGAGTGAAGTAGTCGATCGTGTTGACAACTTCACTTATCTTGGAAGTCTGATCAGCTATAATGTGTTGGTGTCTGACGAAATCTTAGCATGTATTCGAAAAGCTCGTTTGGCTTTTGCCAACTGACGTCACCTATGGCGAAGGCGAGATATCCGTATATCAATTAAGGTACGAGTATACTGCGCGGCAATTCGTTCTGGTCCACTTTACGGCTGCGGAACGTGGCCATTAAGAGTAGAAGATACTCGTAAGCTACTAGTATTTGATCACAGATGTTTTAGAAATATTGTCAGGATCTGCTTGGATCACCTGGTAAGTAATAGTGAGGTTAGACGCAGGGTATGGTTGGAAGAAAGTTAGGGGCGGCCAAACCAAAATGTGACATCAGTTATCAAAGTCACTAACTTCTGGTCTGAGCCATGTTGGTAGATGCAGGGGTTCGCGCAACTATCGTAACCAATGGTTGGAGACTCGTGGTGACATGTCTCAGAATCGATCACAATGGCGTACGTGTATACACTCTCTGTCTTGCCGTAAACTATGAGACTAAAATTATTTCATCTTTCTTTCTACAAACTAAGTTTCTTCCTGTACTATATCCTTATATGCAATCTTTCCTTTATATATTACACCATTGAGTTAATTGCTTCTATGAATTTGGTGTTCATCATGCTGTGCTAATGAGGTGTGGCAACTTGGACTGATGCACATATGTGCCTGGTCCCACGTTGTAACTAACTGACTGACTGACTTTTACCTGTCGACATCAGTAGCCCACACCACAATGATACCTAGTTTGTCCACTGATATTTATCAGCATATTTACAAAAAAATAATAATAATGACAGATATACTTGGTAGATCCCATTCGTTATTGTAACTCATCCTAAAAAATATCTTTGTTATTTATTTAAAAACATAAACATTGGTACAAAAAGGCACCAAATAGATATACGCCACATAAATCATTCGGTTTGTGTGAAGGGTGGGATTCTGCCCGGGTGCCCAGACCGAAGCAGGTGGTTTTCTTAAGGGGCCACACCCCGAGCCTTTGACCTAAAGGTCTGATCCACAAGGCAGTGGAGCATCGTGAGGAGATGCAGTCCCATGGTAGCCGGTGACCAACGATTGGTTCATACGCCATTTGTTCCCTGAGGATACTGGGGCCCATGTGCACCATTGGTTTGGGGTCCGGTTAAAGCGCCGGACGTTCGCTTTTCGTCCTCTCAATTTCGTAAACAACACCCGTGGTGCGAGAAGGCAGTGAGTAGGACTTCCCTGGTAGAGGCTGTATACGCGTGGCCGTGTGAGAGTATTTCGGGAGGAAGGGCGGGCCCACCCCACTCTCGGCCGTACCAGGGCACTTGGGGGCATTTCCCTTTAAAGTCATCTTTATTCACCTTAAAACAAATGAATTAATATATTGTTCGTAAGATTAATTTTTTCTATAAAACATTGCCTTACCTTAAATTAGGAAAGGAACTTGGAACATTTTCAGTTAAACTGCAGAACTATATAATTCCAAAACTTAAACCATAACAGGTTTAATGTCTGCATCTTATATCGGTGATGAGTTTTTGGAATTATTTTACTCCGTAGTGTAATCATTAGCCAGTACAAAAGACATATATCAACGTCCTTGTTACCGAAGAAATATATATGATAACGGTTTAATAGATTTTTTATTCATATGTTAGTGGTTATTATTTTACAAACAATATCAACTCAGAATTAATAAAAACTTCGTATTTCAAAACAGTGCACATGAAATCAAGTCTGAGCTTTGTATTAACAGTGTTTGCCCATGTTTTGTTGTATCATTTGGTGTTTGTAACACAACTCATTAATGAGACTTATCATCAGTTATTTACCTTAGTCGATTCGATTGTGATATTACTTTAAAAGCTGACTTTTCAAGAGAACTGAATATTATGATTAAGATGTTCTATGTAGTAGAGGGATGTTGTTGCTTAATATATATTTTTAGAAACTATTGTTTATAAATTCACAGCTAACATTGAATATTTATGATAGTTCAATTTTTCATTTTCAAGATTCACTCTCATCTACGGTTGATGATATATTGACAAAACCACTTATTCCTACTTTTGATAAAATAATTCCTAATTCAACTGAGTAAGTAGTGATTTCTTTTATTGTTTTCGCATTAATTAAGAGTAAATATAATTTTTTAAAAATTATCATTAATCAATGTAGATTTATATAATTCTTTTTAGGTTTCAATCATAAAATTAAGTCGAATAATATTTGGGATATCAGCTAATTTGTTAATAATTTACTTATTCTTAGAATCTATGTATATTGTTAAATTCTTAAAATACATTCAATAGTAACCAAAAACATCAATACTTAAAACGTGATTTAATCGTTTTCATTACTATTAAATGTTGAAATTTTATTTTTAACATCAAATCATTGGATATTTTGTGCATTTTTTCTCAAATTGTTCTAATATGAAGTTAATATTAATGAAACCAACTATGAAAATGTTGAGGATGTTAGATACCGAGAACTCTCCTGGAAAAGGATCTAATTTTGTAATTTTATTTAGAAATTTCTTAGTTTTCGTGTCAAAAGCGCTCTTTTCACCTTTATGTCGTATTTCCCACATTTGGGAGAATCTTAAACGCTATTGGTCCGTTGTGTCTTTTAGTATGCGATTTTGTAACGCTTCCCAAGGACAATTTTATGCTGTGGGTATACGTTTTGATTTATGTCTGTTGTTATCGCTCGTGCTTCTGGTTTTGTGGGGAATATACTTTCCCGTTCGGGATTCGACTTCTCTTTCTAGTTAGCGGGGCTGAGACGCAATAGAATAGCTAGTTTATTGGTCTTTGGTCACAAGTCTTTGTTCCGTTCGCAGTCTAAGTGAACTCGTAACCGCTTCAAACCTAGCAGAAAATTATGATTGTTTTAAAGTTTCAGTATCCTAATGTAGGACAAATATCTGTTTGTAATGATTAAATTAGTTGTTGTGGAATTCATGATATGATGAGAATGTTAGTAAAAATTTATTTTGTTTGTTTTAGGTTGTTTTTAAGTACCAAAGACTTGTAATCAAATGTGTGAGTCGAATGTAGATTTTTACACAACAAATATTAATGAATTACTCCACAATTCGCGTTTCCAGATTATTCTGGTGATATAAGTTAACTTGTAGCTTAATTGATTGGCTAGGATAGCATTCATAATTTAGTTACAGTCCATTTAACTCTTGTCACTAATGTAAATCCCATAAATTTGTTGTTTACACATGCGATTTGCTTTCTACTATAATGTAGGATGTAAATCAAATAGTTTTAATGTGATTTAGAAACATAATGTTAGTTTTTAAAATGTAAAAATACTTCTGAAACCATATATTGATTGTTAAGTAGTTTAAAAGCTTAGTTGTCTTTACGAAGAGTGTTCGTACATACTAGTGTTAATTGATGAAGCTTTCAAGTTTTCTAAAATTCTCTGGAGAAACAATAACCATTGTTAAGTGTGTTATATGGTGTGTACCAAACGTATTAGTGACCTTTGCATTTACTATTAACTCGTGCATCTATTCACTCTTCTGTACATTAATATATGACTGAGCGATCAACATACTAGCCATTGGGCTGAATTAATCCACGGTGGCTTTCTGATTTTCAAGTTTGTTATGATTAAGTCTCGTAGTGCTTTATATTTCCACCACCCGAAATCAAGATCAGCAGTTTTATGTTATATAGATAAACGCAAATAGAATTAAATAACAGAAAAACGTTTAAACTATACAATAAGTAAACTGGTTATTCGTATAATTTACACAGTTCTGGAAGCTTGTGAAGATTACGTCATAATTAACAAGAATGCAGGTCGTTGATAAATAAATTATATTAGAAAAGAACATAGATGCATTATCATATAGATTATTCTAGTGATTTTCTAAAACTGTTAATTACCAGATAGCAATTTAAATAATTTTAAAACTGTTTATGATTTTTAGGAACATTTACTGACGTCTTCCTAGTGTGTGTGCTACTGATGTCGATAGATATCAGTAGTATGTGCCATCGATCGAAAGTGAAATACCTGGTGGCAGATGGTTAAGAAGATCGTATAAAAGAGAACGAGAACAGAGAATGATTGATGTAGAGTCGTAGGAGCAATGAAGTCTGAGACAATTGATTGACATTTTGCAAATGAAGTGTTGACTGTATAGTTCTCAGATTTTACTATGAGATTCTGCTATTTTGTGTTCAAATACATTCGATTGTCCCCAATTGTTTTTCCGTTCACTACATTACAGATAAGTGTCTTAAAATAATCGCAGTATGCTTATACAAATTTCATTTCTTTACTTCTTCTGCATCATGTGTATATGGTATTTTATAGAGCTTTGTTAATCGATCTATTTGTTCAATAAATAAATGTCATCGTTGACTGTTCACAGTATGTTCTAATATAGTTCATAATTACTTTTATTTGCCTATTTTGCATCAGATTAAAGCCTATTTCAACTCAAAGTCGATATGATTTACTTCTATGGTGTCAGTTGGTGACTAAATCTTATGACAATATACAGATAGTTGATCTTACTACATCATTCCAGAATGGATTAGCTTTCTGTGCTATCCTGCATCATTTTTTTCCCGATCGAATGTAAGTTCGCCTTTTGTTATTTTTAATTACCGTGTAAACTCAGGTTACGGAATCAGTGATTTCTTGTAAATGTTAAAACATATTTCTCCCATTTTTGTCGATATTCATACTTACTGAACAAATGTTGAAATCAATACTTATATCCTTGAATAATATAAATGAATAGTCTTCAGAGGATCGAGCATATAACTACTGGGTTCCTTGTTGTTACCTTTGTTACCTTTTAGATTAGTAGACAAGATCCAGTTAGCGTATATAATTTATTTTATTTATTCTTGTCACACTATTGTTTATAATAAATTCATGGATGATTACTGCTTAGTAGGTTTTAGGTATAGATTTAATTGGTTATATCACATTGTTTTAGTTTATTTTTATTCATTTGGATAATTCATTGAAACCTATGATTTTATGAATCATAATTTACCTTGTGTATCCAATCACTCCCTAACTTTAAAATACCTATTCAGAATACTTCACTCCGTAATAACGCGTCAAACTACTTGCCTGAGTCATTGAAAATGGAATCTAAATTCAAATCTTTTACCCATTGTTTAGCTCACACGTTGAAGGTGTACTGTACGATCTACAACAGGATATATTCTACTGTTGACGTCTTTATATAATTAGAGAGTTTTATAATTTAATGTCAAATAAACAACCATTCATTTATCTATATGTAACTTGTTAATATTCCGTACTGTAATCGTAGTGCCATACAACCTAGTTTACATTATGAGGAGCAGTCTTCATTGAATAAACCTACAAGACAAAAGTGTTCGATTCTGTTTAAATGTTAATTCACGTTTTAAAAAACCATTCTGATCTACAAAACCTACGGCTTTATTTCGCGAAGATAGTTTTTGAATTTTTGGAAAACACCTTGGTTTCGTCTACTTCAACAGTTGGAATAGAAATAAATACCTAAAATAGCTGGTATGAAAGCCAAGACTACTAAGTAACAGGATACGTTGTACATCCAATAAAACAGTATACTTATATTTCATTAGAAATCGACGAAGTAGTGTTCTTGAAGATGAATTTTTTTAACCCGATCTTTTCAACTAATACAGATTCCCAATAAGTCTCAAACATCTCTCCCTCTGATTACATAATACTTCCTTGCATTTTATTTATTGCATTGTAACGAATATTTTTAATTTAAAAATACTTTTCAAGTGATTACAGCTCATTGTCATCGGAGAACTCTCTACAAAATTGTCGCCTGGCATTCGATGTGGCTTCTAAATTGGGAGTACCCCGTGTACTTGATCCAAGTGAAGTAGTTTCTAAAAGTCGTTCACCTGATTTGCTCAGTATGATGACATACCTCCATCAAATCCGTACATTTTGCTGTGAACGAACAAAAAATAATGATGAGAACTCTCCATGTACAAATGATAACTTAGTATTAAATGGGATCTTTGAACAATGTATCAAAACCAACAAGTCTGTTTCTGTTGTAAAGAGTTCAGTTTTCGGTTTATATATACATATATATATCTTCAGTTTAAAAGTTACGTAAATTATTACATTTTCCAAATGTTTAGTATTTTAGTCAGTATCAATACATATAAATGGATCATCTGAGAGGATTTATGGGTTTGTGATCATCATTGTTGTTTTTTGAACAAATCTTTCGGTAGTCAAATGTGTAATGCAGTACTACAAAACTATTTTGATAAGCCGTAAATGGTCAAGAATATGAAGTGTATAAATTGCAGATTTTTAAACATGTGCTAGTCAGTCAGTCATGTGCAACTTTGAACCTGGCATATATTCCCATCAGTTCAAATTATAATGCAGCATTAGCACAGAGAAATGGAATTAACAAGTGAAGTATCGGAATAGTATAGATAGTAACGTTATGATTAGTAGCGGGAAAGATTAGATATAAAAGAAGATGGTGTTTCCACGCTTGGGATCTGAAAGACAACAAAGAGTGAAATGGTTTATGCCACTGTGACCGACTCTGATCGTTATCACCCATTGTTTTTAACTAAAGGTTACGATAACTTCATAGACCCTAACCAAAGTGATTTGACTTGCTTATCTTGCTCAGTCTAATGTGTCTCGACCACCTTAGTTGATGAAGATTCACTATTTCATCAACCAGTCTGTCAATTTTATCAAACATCCTATGTCTGTTCTTAGCATTACCCACTCGATTTTCCCGACATAGAAGACCAGTGCTTCGATGACATATCCAACTAAATACTGTCAATTTACAAATAATCATTATTCTTAATAGTTGTTCTTTGCAGCCATAAAGTGGAACAGAGTAAATTGATTTTTAGTAAACTCTTTGATTTGCAAATGGATGTGTAATATCCTTTTTATCCGCAGATATCATATGATAAGTCTTTCTCTCTCATCCTATTTCAATGCTGAATATATTTCTGACATAATTTCAAGTGTTCAGAGTCAATTGGTTGCAATAAAGGAGTGACCTTATAGCATGTATTCATGCACATACGGGGCATTTGTATTTTTAAACATCTACATGAAATATCTAGTACTGCGCGTAAAAACTGTTAATGTACACGTTTCATGCAATTGGCTTCCTTTATGAATTTTAATGATATATATAGTTGTAAACAACTGGTGCAAAACTACGATTGAATCTATATTATTATACCTCGATTGTTGTTCTGGTTTTATTTAGACAAGGTGCTTATTTCCCTATATGATCATTATATATATTTATTACATATTCACCATTTTTTTCTTTACTTCGCCTATTTTAGCTCAGAAACGAATCATAGTTTGCAGAAAATTGAAAATCCGCCGGATGAAAACTCAAACAATGCTAAAAATAATCTAACTAATCCAGATAAAGCTGTTAGATCAACACCTAAAAAAGTAGTTTCGTACAAAATTATGTTTCATTACCTGTCGTTTGTCATTATTTACTTTTTTAAAATTAATATTTCCACACCTAAAACTAGTTTAATAAGAACATAGATGTATCGGGTTTAGTTTTTGATATTATTTCTGTTTGATTGCTGTATTTATATGTGTCAGTATTTGGTACTGTAGGCAACTGCCTAATCGGTAAACGGACAAATAACCAACAACATTTTTGTTATTATCACTAACTTGATTTGTGTGACTATACTGATTACATAGTGAGCAAGGTTCTCTCACAGTTCTAGGTTCCAATGGTTAGTGTGACCTACCTTTCTGAAGATGAAGAGTGATTATCATATTGAAATTAGAAAACTACTTTCTTCATGACTTAGTTTTTATGTACTGCTTATGAATAATGTATAATCATACAACCTGGTTTGTAGTTATTAACGGCTCATAATTAAAAGAATATCAAGACTATGATGAAAAAAATGAATTACAATTTAAATGGCTTATTCGTTACGTGATCTATGAAACCCTGACGAATTTTTAGCGTCGATTCAAACCATCACTCTTACCTTTCTCATTATGCAAACATCAATTCACTAAATAATGACAGCCGGAAAAAATGTAAACGTTTACGAAACGGAATAGACACACGTATTATATCAGAATATCATATTGTTTTCATTCGGTCTTTTAGACACACTTCCAGAACGATTTTGAATAGTTACTTGTATTTTATTAGTATCCCTATTTAAACACTTTTTAAAACATATCAATCACATATAATTGTTTTTTTTAAAAATTGTGGTTTGATATATATATTCAATACCTAATAATGATTAAATCACCCATGTTTACTTGGTTTTGAAGTTAATGTGTTTGTTTGAGTTTTTTTTATGAAACGACTGTTTACAATCTAATTTCGATACATCCTATCATTGTCAATTTTATATCTTAGAAAACACTTGTCATAGACTTTTGCCGCGTAAAAATATGAGTTTCGTATGTCCGATGTGAATAAATTGATTTTGATACTATTCAACTTGAGCTTGTTTATTGATAATAAACGTTATAGTTCAAATGGTTATTTGTTAAAATACATGTGCAAATGATCATAGTAAAACATATTTAAACTATTATGATAGAACAACAATTATAGTATGACTATTAAAATGTCAGCTATCTCTCACAAAGACGAGATAGTTTTATACTCTAAGTCCAGATGATGGACAGAATATTTCAAAGGAATATCCGATTTCGAGTTACCACTATTTACAAATAACCTGAATAAAGGTCGATATAAGCTCCCTAATCCATCACTTGATGAGTTTGAAAAGGCTATATTAATGCTATTTAAGTACTGTAGGACCTGATAGACTAGTTCAGAAATTCCTTAAGGATGATGATTCAGTTTTGGCAGTTGTACTGCTTGCGATATTGACTGGAGTCTGATAACCGGGCATGATCTTAATTAACTGATGTCAATCTCTGCAAGGAATAACCTAGATTCTTTTGTGATACCTACTGATGACACACTGACTAACACTATTTTTTAGTACACTAACCTTCGTAATCACTGTACACTTAATTAAGGCTTGGGGAAAGTATTTATATTTTAAATGTTGACGTGAATATTTTGATTGAGATCTTGAACCAATTGATGTTAGATCATTACAATTGAAAACCTGGAAGCACTGGACGGCCGTTTCGTCCTATTGTGGGACTCCTCAGCAGTGCGAAACGGCCGTCCAGTGCTTCCAAGTTTTCAATTGTGATGATCTAACATCAATTGGTTCAAGATCTCAATCAAAAACTTAATAATGTCCACAACTCCTATACTAGTGAATATTTTGATCAAATATTCACTCTCCCTAAAGTTTTAGAATATAGGTTTATCTACTAACTCGCTATCATAGCTGTATATCTCGATTTTAAAGTGACACTCGACTCGGTAGATTTTTGTTAACAGGCGTACCAATGAAGTACACAAATCTTGTGAGTGTTCTCTACTTATGCACTACTGATCGAATCTTAGTTCATTATGTCTTGTCATGGATTTCAAGCTAGATTGATGTGATTCAGTGTTGCCCACTTTGCTCTTTCCTACTTACATTTTTTTATTGATATCTTCTTAGGATTATACTTATTTCATCTAACTTTTAAGGGATAGATCTCCATTCTAAAAAGTTACTAGCGCTCTGAGATTATGCGGATTATAGATTCTGTGCCTGATTCGATGTTGCTTATTACTGACTGACTGCAGTTTCTATATGAATGTGTATAAGTTGTCTAATGATCTTTTCTTATTTTCTATCTTATCTGTGCCTTGGCAATTACTTTCCTGGTTTTCTTTTCGCAAGATTTCTTTTACCTTATGCAGTGTTTGAGAATCAATAAATTGGATTATTTAGAATATTTACATAGATTTTACTTCATGTCAATAAAGCGAGGTTCAAAACTAATTCATCATTTTACTTAGACATTCTTCAGGTAGACAGATAACTTTACATATCAATATATTGCTGTGCAAAGGTAAAGTAACTTAGACTTATAATATCACAATTAACAAATAAACTGAAAATCATTTTCCCGTGGAAACTTTAGTATATGTACGTTTGTGGTAAATATCATGAAAGTAAATAAACTGAGTATTTAGTTATTAATTATACGATTATATGTAGATAAGGTTTTGTCTTCCAATGATTAAGAAATTAAAGCCTTGGAAAGTGTTTCAGTTCGACCGATAAATTTTAGTGCTTCATTCATCAATCTACCTTTTCCAATTTTTCATTGTGCTTTCAATCATCTATGAATGAAAACTTGTTGGGAAGTACTTTCTATTGTCTATGGCATTTACGTATCAAAACTGTGTGTTTCTACGCACAAATTTTTTATTTATAATTGAATATAATGCTAATAACTCTGTACTTTACTAATTTTTGAAAAATACTCTATTCATTCTCTTTTACTATTTTTTTCCAAGAAAATTCCTTTAATGAATTATGAACATATGTTGGCTAAAGCACGTAGTCTCTTGCAACAATCACGTCTAAATTACTTAGCACCAACAAGTCGACCTGGTGCTTTACCGCCTTTAGCACATCCTCGTAAACCACATCCTATATCTGGTTCATTGACAGCAATTCATTCAGTAGATGAAAATTTTAACCGGAATCCAGTGACAGAAGAAAGTTTAACGAATATTACATTAACTGATGGACAAAATCATCGATTGACTGATACAAAGTTATGTACAAGTAAGGTTTAGTTTATGTTAAATAATTTTTCTTGTTCTTCTGTAGTGTCTCACGTTTATCATGTACACGTTTCTGTACTTGACTTTCAGTTACTCTTGTTGTGTGAGGGGCTGTCATATTATTTGATTAAGTAAACCAAAAATTATAACAAAACAAGTTTCAGACTTGAGTGTTAAATTCCTCAACACCCAAATCATACGTGAATATATGTGTTTTTTTTAGGTAAATATATTTTTAAAAGTTGGATTCAAATGGCTCACTATGTATGTGAAATGCTGATAAATTATTGAAAGGACCCAGCATACATATATTTGAAATGTTGTGCTCTTTTAGACACATCAATGTTCTTTTAAATATATAGTCCAAGTAAACTAGCTATATTTCTGGTCGGTTCATGACTCCAAGACTTGTAACAAAGTTTAGCCTATTTATTCATGCTCGTCCTATCAATCTGTTGAAATTATTAAGTAATTACTTCTCAAGAAATAGACATAGCATATATGATAATATCTATATATGGTACTGAATTGTATTGTTTTCAAGCATCTTAATGATGAATCATCAGTGACTTCAGTGTACACACATCTTATATGTGTACATTTAATCATTTTCATTACAGATTCTTCAGCTGATAAGTATTCTCAATTATAATTGACTTCATTGCATATTATTTAATTATATAATTTTTTCCTTTGATTTAATCAACTCTAAAGATATTCAGCTCTGCTAAAGATTTAAAAAATACTCCATAATGTAGTCGATGTATTCATTCATGAAGTTTCGGTAATGAATACAAACTTCTCAATTGTTACTATTTTTTCACCTTTATTGTTTACGTTACTCAACTGTAGGTATTTGTAACTTTATACAATATCATATTGAAAATAGTGGAAAATGCTTTATTTTTATAATACTATTATTTAAACTTTATTTTCTTTGCGTGTAATATAAATTCACAAACGTTTTTAGACTGAAACAATTTATTGTTTTGATTCCTTAAACGAATAGTAAATTTATGTTTGTAACAAACTTCATTTAGTTAGTTCTAACTTCTTCATATATCAGTCTGTTTCGTCGAAATTAAGTTAGATACACACTAGTTATTTACTTACAGCTGTTACGCCTCATGGAGGAACATGGGCCACTGACTAGCATTCTGCATTGAACTCTGTCCTGGGCGATCCTTTCCAGTTATTATTCGTTCTTTTGATATCTCTTTACAATTTTCGATGCAGTGTGTTCCTTTGTCCTCTTCTGTTCCTATTCATTTCATGATTCCATGTTAGCGCTTGCCTCATGATGCAGTTTGATGATTTCCTGAATGTGTATCCTATCCATTTCCAGAGTCTTTTCCTAATTTCCTCCTCAGCTGGAAGCCGGTTTGTTCTCTACCATAGTAGGCTGTTGCTGGTAGTATCCAGCCAACGAACAATGAGTATCTTACGTAGACACTTGTTTATAAATGATTGTATCATTTTGATGATAGTTATAGGAGTTCTCCGAGTTTCAGCTCTATACAGTAGAACTTTCTCGACGTTCGTATTGAAGATTGTGACTTTGACATTGGTTGGCAGGTGTTTTGAGTTCCATATGTTCTTCAACTGTAGGAAAGCTTCCCTTGCTTTGTCGATCATTGCTTTTACGTCTGTATCCGATCCTCCTCGTCCGTCGATGGTGCTGTCCAGATACATGAAGGCTTCCACCTGTTCCAGGCTTTTCAATCACATGTGAGCTAAATACACATTAGTACACAAATACAAAAAAAACTATACATACTTTGTTTATTATTAGAAGTTAGTTTTAAGAGATAATAATAATAATAATAACAAGCTCAAATGTATATTTCTTAAAGAAATTAGTTTATAATAACACAATAATGTCCATCTACTCAAAGAAATCAACACCAATTATCCCTAATAAATTTTTATAGTTTCATAATTGTTTTATTATAAAAAGTTGGTTGAATTCATTGTTTGTATTTTATTACTTAAAAAAAATTAAATATCTCACTTAGTTTTAACTACCTTCTAATAATAATGTTTAACACTTTTTTTCCCTTTTTTCATGCACCAATTTTTGTTTTATCATATTAATCTATATCTATGTCCATCTATCTATCTATATATCTATGGCTATGCGCACGTATTACCTACTGAACTAACTACTATCATTTATCTACTTATTTCCATTGAAATTACACTGCACTTATATTAAATTGATGTGAATGCTATTCGTTTATTTCTTCATTCAACAATATTGCTTTGGTTGCATAATTTTCTTGATGTCTATACTATGACTGAATACATTCGCCTATATATATATATATATGTTTATGTTAATGCCTATTGTCTGCCTTGCATATTTGATAATGTTCATTGGTTTGTATGTAAAAAAAATGCATTCATATTATTATTTATATATTTTTGTTTGCCTAAATAAAATTTTATTTTGGAATAATCGAATAAATGCATTTTTATTTATTTAGAACATCGAAAATCCCATAAAACTCTGTACAGATTTAATTCAGATGGTAGTTTTAATTCGCTTTTTTTTATTGAAAATTGAATAATGAAAAAAAAAACATTTTATTGACATCAATTAAATGTTTGTTTGTTTGTTTTAAATAGTAATCTAATACAGATAGATTTAAATGTAGATGACCATTTTGTAATTTTACAGTAATAAGTTCAAAAATACAAATTATCGGTTATTATATTTTAATCTATTAGCATAATATACATATAATCAATATAAAATTTAATAGTACATTGTTATTTCATTCTAGTAATGATCTGAAAATATTATCAATTACATATTATGAACTTGATATAGATAAACTGGATTCATGTAGATAGAAATTTATCATTACCAGTGTTCATGTCATTGTTGAAAATAGTTCTTAGAATATTGGTTATAACCATTTATAGCTTATCGAATGTTTTTGATTATGTTGTGTTCTGAATTGGGCGATCTATTTATAAAATTTTCATTGTTATTTTGATTAATATAAGCACTTTCAAATTTTAGATTTAAAATTTCTTTCTACTACCAATTGAGTAATTAATCTTCATGACTATATTGATGATTGATTTTCTCTGGGTGGTTATTTTTTTTTGGACCGACCTCTTACTGAGTAACCTTTTTTCTGTATCGACATGTGTCAGTACAGTAAGGAGTTGGTTGCAGATTGACCTAATCACTTCATTTCCGGCTATTGTGGCATTTTCTTAACTAAGTGCGTATCTACAATCGCTTACAACCATTCATATAAGTGCAAATATATTGCATTCTTTCTGTACTCTGTTCATGTATCTTTATTTAAACGTAGAGTCTACCCTCTCACATAAAGTGCTTCTCATACTTGGTACAATTAATTTTGTCGACGGTCTTGCATTTGTCTTCTTTCGCTGTCATACACCAGTTAAACCTCGTTGATTAACATCTTACAACGCATTCCATATTTGTTTCTCAAAGGTTTTAACCGAACTCTAACTCAAATACATCCATCAGGACTAATCGCAAAATCTATGGTGGTATAACTAGATGCTGAAGTCTCACCAACAATAAAACCTTAAGTTTTGGGAACACTATATAGATGGTGCGTTTGTTGTCATTGAGAGACGGACTCAAAAATTCTCCTTGATTGATCAGTAGCATTTTCAGTCAATAGAAAACAGTTAAATCACAAAATTCTATTGTTGGGTGTCCTGATTTTATCCAACGAAACAAACAAAAACGTTATAAACATTATCACACAAGAAGCCAATTCTCACAAAACAGTGGAAGCTCGACAATAAAAAAATAGCGTACAAACACTTGTAAGAAGAGCTAGAACACACTTCACAGCTCAGCGAAAAAAAGTCAAACTCTTCATTCTGTAAAACGGCTCCTCTCGCAAATTCATCAGGTGTTTGGCAAATCGATATACCATCACAAATTCACACGGGTGTTTATAATAAGAACAAATGATCACAAGGTTATTGAAACCCGTCGGAATAGATGTCACACTAATGCCAATATGATCGCGTCATATTTCATACGTCTTAGCCGAAAACGCCTTATGTCTTTATTAAATATCACCTTCATCTGTTACTGTTTTGATATTTTTAGCTTTGTTCCTTTAGTTTTTAGGCTGTGTTAACTAAAATAATTTTTCAGCTTGAAGCATGGAATCACATTTACAAGATTGTAAGGTTACTAGGAACTATAGCATCGTTCCAGTAGTGTTATTAGATGGATGTCGGTTTCTAGTGTGAGCTCTTTTTATTTAGCTCAAATCTCAGTTCTCAAACATTAGACAGCACCCTAATACCATAACCCGAGATATTCTCATTGTTCATCTTTAAACGTATAGCGTTACCATATTTTCTGAATATTCATATCATATTACTTTTTCTGCCTGTCGTCCTTTTACTTTTGCTATGCTAGTATACACAGTAGTAACATGAATGTATCACGTGATGAGTCGCAGATTGAATTGCAAGTAATTTCTCAGTTCGTTGTAGTGTTGATTAAAATGCTTCTTTTCAAGATGTAAACGATTATCTGTCTTAGTTTGAGCTTGTTTGCAAGTGCTCTTTTTAGTCTGTAAATATTCATATCAATATTTCCTGTTTATCGGTAATTTACGATCGATTTTATCTCCTCGAATCACGTATACATTAAGTACTTTAGTATATTTTGCATATAACAAATCGAGGTACTCAGTAACCGTGTACAAAGTCATCCGCCAATGGTATATACTGTTTGGTTACTAAATTCTCGGTACAGTGCAGTTGCAAATTCTTATTAACTAATTGAATGTTGATTGCCCTACCGAATAAACCAGAGCTTTATTCAGCTGAGTATATTTGACTTGATTATTTGATCTTTCATCCATTTTACACATTAAATAAGGGATGTGGGTTTTCTGTAATTCAGGTTCGTGTTTATTGTTATCACGAATAACTGAATAGTTTTGGTTGCATGAGGTTATTAATGCTCACTTCCTTTATTAGATCAAAAAAGTAACGTTTTGTTTCAACAAAATAATACTGATTTATTGGTCTTCTTGTGTATATGCTTAAAGACTAATGCTCTACAATAAAGTTTCGCTAATCTTCATATGCAACTAATAAGAAGGGGGAAAATCATAAGTGTAGCAGTCAGATGTATACAGTTTTAGTCGACCCAAACTAATTACCTTTATAAGCGGTTTTTAAGCTTATTTAAATTTTTGTTACAAACCAACACCCAGTGAGAACCGTCGACATCTAGTTACCTCATTTCAGAACTAGTTAAATGTGGTTACCAATGCCCTCATACAACAAATTAACCAGTGCCTTTGGGTCTCGTCATGAGCACAGCTGGGCTACACTCGAGATCCACTAACCAAGAATTATCCATTTTGTGGAATGACTCAAACCCCGTAGTGTAGCGTGTAAAGTTATTTGGGAACTGCTCTGTGTTGTTCCATTTCTGAATCTAGTTCGAGAGAAATTAGATCACATTTGTAACTATTAATTAATGCAAACTGCTGCGTTTCATCCTAATCATACATTATAGTGTTTCCTAACAAAATACCCAGCTACCTGATTCTAAATACTTATCATCCATAATCTCAAGTTTAGTTACTAAGTTCTTAGTGAATTAGTTTCAAATTATGGATATACTATACATAAACGTCCACAAATACGAATATTTTATTATAATGCACTTATTTATGTCAGCTTATTATCCTACTTCATAGTTGCTTATATTTGTACCCGTTCTTTAGCTTGTTTTCATGAACCACATATATTACTGGATAAACATATGATTTAGTCTGTTTATACCTCCAATTTACAGGCACAATATGTATACCGAATGTTGATACCTCATTAAATTCCATTTCTAAGCCATTTCGATTTTCAACGAGTAATATTTTTCCAACACTTAGTAAACCACCACAGTCAACTGTTGACACAAGGTTTTCTCCGGAACAAATGAAAGTTAGACGTCTACGTCTGTCACAAATGAATCTCTTTGCGTCGGGTCGAGGTAGTGGTGCACCAGTACCTATACGTATTGGTGAACATCATTTGGATAATAAAATGGATAACCGAACTCATGTCTCCACTTCTGTAAGTTGAAATATTTAAATTAATTATTTTATTGCGAAAAACGAATGCAATCGAGAACTACTTATTTTGAATTAGTGTTTCATATTTTTCAAGTGGCTCTAGTACCGGTTATGATGACCGAAGTAGGAGCGAAGTCGTTTGTACACATTTTTACCTAGAAATTCAGTTTGTTAGCTTTGTCGATAGAAGAAAACGTACGATAAGTAATTAGCTTTTGCTTGATCATAAAGCATAGTGTTAAGCCAATTGGTGACGGAATTCCCGAACTGTTCGCTTATGTAACTAGTTTCACAGGAGCAGTTTAATTGAAGAAGTTTGTCATTATTTTTGGTTTTTAGGATAAAATCTTTTCAGAATAAAGCATACGGTTTGTTTTTCTGCGGAGCTTTTCTTATTATCAGTATTATTTCATTAGTAGTTTCGTCTATAAACTCTAGTTTTAGGGGCAAGGTGTTCTAATTTCCTCTTTATAATTTAATTTTCATTTACAACTTAAATTTTTAGACTCATTTCCGATCGAGGCTAGGAGGAAGTGACTAGTGTTTTGTTTCTGAATGTTGGCTGGATTCTCTTTAGTAGTTTCAGTATAAAGATGAGAGTTTACTTACACTTGCAGAGTTTCTTGTCATGTTTTAGTTCGTGTATCAGCCAACAAAAATTTAAAATATGCGTCACTTCTTTTTCAATGACATGAATCTCTCAGTACTGATGTATTCTACTTTTTGATCGTAAACCATTAACATATTTTTATTTACATTTCTATAACGACATCGTATTTTAGATTTTTATGCAGAATTATTTTAGGAATATTGTCAGGATATTTTCATTCACGTCATTGAGGATACACGTTTTATTCCTCGCACACTGGTTAGAAAATCCCCATCAGCAATGAGTTCTTCACTTATCGAAGTTAATGACTTACTGTTACTATTATTTTCTACAATATCATATAAATATTATGTTTATTAGATATACACTATTGTCATCTTTAATTTTTTTATACTTCACTTTTATTAAATCCTTCGGTGAACAAACATTTGTGGAACTCGTTTTATTCACTAAGATCAAAAATCAAGGTTAGTTACATAGAAAGTGTATATTTTGATAAACTATGATTAAAATGTAAACAAAAAACATCCATTATGTATAACTGAAGCTAATTCACAATCCTTTATAAATGAACTATTAATTCTACGAGTGTAATTGTTTCTTTAGTAAGAAATATCAAATATTGCAGTATTGTGTCGTCTATGATTTAATTATTAGAGCTGGATCCAATTGGTTAGTCACAAACTCAAACTCATGGTTCTGATCAAATTCGTGTCAAGAAGAGTGAAATTAATGACTCAGATTTGACATTAAACAAATTCTACGCTGTTTTTTTCAAATCATGAATACAATTTCAGTACATTTTGATATATTTTACCATGTCCACAAACATGGATTGGTTTTCGGTTTATGCTAGTTTCGTAAAGCCTATTATGTAACAACTTTAGTTAATTACATTGCTTCGTGACCTTCGAGTGTTGTTTAGCTACAAATCTAAATTTGTATACTACATTGTTATTTATATTGGTGTCTGCAAATTTTTATTTGGCTCTTTGCAATTCACAAAGTAGGTACTTCTTGTCGGAACGTTATTAAAAGTAGCTATGGGACTTCTCTACTATTAATTACAATTATTTCACAATAAGATTGGCCAACTAATTTACCTACTGTCAAAAACGATTTTATACTAAACAACTGTTCAGTCGTTTAACAGCGTAATTAATACGGCGTAACGGTTGTTTACTTTTACTTATGTTGAAGTATAAGAACCGAATACTAAGAACAATTTTTTTAAGATAAAAGTATTATGATGAAGAACTCGTTGCCGATGAAAGATGTTCATCGCTAGTTTACAAATTAAATTGATCTAAAAATCTCGGATGTATGAGAATCTTGTTTATGTGAATAGACTTGTTTTGAGCAAAAGACTGATTTCTTTCCTAAACCAGAATTGTTTATTCTACTAATCTATGAGAACTAGTTATATCCATTCATTATATTGATTTACAATATCTTCATCTTCTATAGGCACTTTAGTCAATAACAGTTCGTCTAATGCACTTCTCTCCGTTTCGAATTATATCAGCAATGAGCAGGCTGAATTAGAAGAGGCACAAAAGAAGTTAGATAAAGAAGCAGCTGTACTAGAGCAGCGTTTACGCCAACAAATGGCATACGAGCCAGGCACCGCATTAGAAGAAGAATTGTTAAGACGATGGTTTATTTTAGTCAATAAGAAGAATGCCCTAATTCATCGGGGCTTCCAGTTGTCTATAATGTAAGGCCGTTTATCCTTTTATCCGTATTATAAGTGTGATATTCTTTATTACTAATGGATATTTCAATCTATGTGTTATCTAAATAAATACGTTATTAACTCAACTTATACAATGACAATTATTTCAACGGCCTTGCTTCTATTTTATCAGATTGTTGCGATAACATCGAGTTCGGAAAATCAAACAGATTTATTGGATACTTCTAAGAGTCGTCCTCTCTTAGATTAAAGCAGTATTAGGGTTTATTTTGTTGAGATATTTTAAATCAGACTACATTAAAGACAGAAGCCTGTAAAATAGAATAAAGAAGAGAATAGCGTACATTCAAATAAATCCAGTAGGTTGCCAAAAAGTCGTTTTCTTTTTAAGCTCACTACCATTTATTCCACTGTAATTTGTCTAGCTTCTTCTGCGAAATTGGAGCAGTCAAAAGTTGCCAAATGAGATCACCTTTTCCCAGTCAGGTGCAAGTTATTGACCAATAAATGGTTTCATTTTCTAAGGAGTAGATATATGTATGAATTAGTGATCATAGATGTGTACCGGTTTAGCCTGTTGAACTTTCTTTACTCGTAGTTTTCTCACTGGTAGCCATCTAGACTTGCGTATGAGTTTTTTTATCAGTATCAGACTCCAACATTACTCGTCATAACATCCTATCTAAAAATTAAGGTAGATAAACTTTCTTCGAAGCGCTTTGTAATCCAATTAAATTTTTGAAACTAATTATTTTGTATTTAAACCATCCCATTTACCCTGATCCTTTTTTGTGTTAGAACGTACGCGATAATCGTCACTTTTTTATTCTTAGTTGAGCCTGTCGTGATAATACAATGTTCCACCAAAATGTTATTATACCATTACATCAATAACAAATTGTTTATTTATTTCAGGGAGAAGGAAGATGATTTGAAAAAGAAAATGAAAATGTTGCAGGATGAATTACGATCGATTTTATCCGTTGAAGGTAAATTTAACTAGATATTACCACTGACACACAGACTAAGCTACTAAAATTAACCGGAAACAAGATTGCCTTGAAGGATAATCATAAATAAGTGGTATATTTGTGTTATAACATAACGGTGCAATCACTTACCTTTCCAACAAATTATAAAGTGCTAGACATGCTATTTTTCGTGATTTCAGTTCTTAATTTTGCGTCCAAAAACTTAACTTCCCCATCCTCTAGTGATCTTTGCTTTTCCCTGTGTGGTTGTCTTTGAGTTTGTTCTTTGTTTATATTTATTAACAGACTACACATATAAACAGTGTTCCCCATAATTTAGCATTTTGCGGCGACAATAAATTTTTCTTCGAAATGAACATGTATTACGGGCAGTCAGGTGTAATGCTTGATATTGCATATTTCTAGCTTATAATAGACTCGTCCGATTCATATGTTTAGTGAACATTTGTCACCTCAAGAAAGTAAGTAGCTTTGAGTTTCAAACGCTCTGCGTCTTACGCGATTTTTTTTCTGTCTGTATGAAGTTGGTTGCTAAAATGAAGGAAGAACAACTTATTTCTCATGACAAAAACCGATTAGTATTTATCCCTGAATTTTTGTAGGTTTAGATAAAACTACATCACTTTTATGTATCGTTACATTTGCTTATCTAGGTCTCGAAAAATCTTGTTAAGTGTCTTACTTTATCCTATAAATGTGAGAAATGAACTCGCAACACCTGGAGATTACGACAACAAAAGCGTTGCCACAAGTTTATGGGCATAAAGTATTTGTTAGCTTAGGCGTTAAGTTCATCATTCAAGCATTGGGGAGTCACGTAGTATCATTAATCACAAAAAAAGGTCTGTGTACAAATGTATTTTTTTACCGAGTCACATTCAGTTATTAAGCCTTTTTAATGCAACGTGTGTAATTTGTGATTTCATTAAAATCTCATACTAATCGGTAAAACTTTTCTTGAAATAAAATAGATTATTTGAAAACAGATAATGATAGAAGACGAGAAGATCTTCTTTTACAAGATCTTGTACGATTGGTCAATGAACGTGATGACATCATTCAGGAATTGGATTTGCATGAGAAAGTGTAAGTTGTTTGTATTTTTAACACTTACGATTTTTGTAACTTAAAGATTAGCTGAAGAACTAGAACTGGAGCAAAATGCAGGTTATATGTCATATGGGAGGCGTAGAATTGACAAAAGTTGTGTACTACAATAATGCTCAACTTATCCAGACAAGCGTGTACAATGGGCTGTGATTCATAATAGAAAGTATGTTTCACTAACCACTTCTGTTCGGGATTTATTTACTCATTGATGTGTAAATCGATTCCTTTTGAAAAAGAGTACTATTACAGTCTCTTTCAGCGCCATATTTCAATTACTGTCTCAGGCGATCACTTTTTCTTGTATTTTCCCCAGATGTCATTTAATCAGTCTTTTTCTGACTCCTGGAGTAAACAAATTGTGATGTTACTTTTCATTTTCTTGGGACTGCTTTGTGTTTTGAAAAAGTTCCTTGTGTTGTTAACTTTTATTTCATATTTACTTAAAATATATCAAATTATTTCGAAAACAGAATGATTGTAACCTGTCTTATACTGTTTTATTTATCAATAATACGTTTCATGTATATGTAGTCATTATTATTGTATATTTCTCTTTTCTTTCTTGAGAGTCTATTATGGAGTTCAAATTGAGAATAATACAAGTTTAAACCAAAGTGAAAAGTATGACTTCTCATCGGTTATCAAGGGTTTAGACGAACATGATACGCATGTCAATGCTTCGTTTAATAGCACCCACTAGCAATTACCCGGATAATGAATGTTTCCCTTAGATTCAGCCCTTAACATTAAAAATTCATTTTGCATATATATATATACTGTTATATGCGAAAACAAATCTTTAAAATTATACATAAATTTCTGTAGGGCATCTCAGGCAAATCAGTTATCTGTTCTTCACTAGTAACTTTGCAGGATATTGCTCGGAACTTAAGTCTTTGATTGAAAACAAACGGCTGGCTCGTTCTTTCAACGTCCCTCCGCACTTTAAACCCCGAGCCATTAAGGTTGCTTTAAGAACATCTAAGCCGAACACTTCGAGGTTTTCAGCAGTATCTACTTCACGCAACTGTTGGTCAGTCAAAGGTTGTGCGGTTTCTTTTGAGGTATTTCTACAAGCACTTTGCGATTCTTTTTTATCTTCGACTGAAATTTGAAAGAAATGCATTACTATAGTTAAACTTTTTATTCATCAGTCGTTCAGAAACAACAGATTAACGACCTATATGATTAATAAATGTAAGGATTTTTACTTACTGTCATTGCTTCAAAACATATCAATGTACCTATTGTGTTTCGTTTTATTGACACTAAAAATATGCTTATCGTTGTGCAACGAAAATCATCTTTTCATTGGCATTCTTGTTCGAACGTATTCCAATAGCTGATTTGTCATTGGACCTCATCTATTTATATAATCGTCTACTTTTTTCTTTAAAATACATTTGCAGTAGAGCTAAGAAGTGGACTCATCGTATGATAATAATTCGTAAGTTAGTCTGTTACTAACTTTCGAACATTTTGTATCAACTGTAGGTGGATTCCGTAAGTTAGGAAACATATAATATGACCAGAAAACATACAGATAAAAAACCGATGAGTCCAGCTTGATGAGAATGCGGTCGTAATCGCAGTTACAATTAACACACATTTGACCTGTTCGTAAACTGACAACAACTTTTCAATACGAAACCGCTGTGAAAGACTATCGTGGCTAAAGCAGTTTACAACCTCTGTACTCATATATATAGTATTCCATAGTAAACAAGGACAATGACTAATCAGTTTTCGAGGTTAAGGGATTGAAACCAATAAAGCTATCAAACAAGTCACATAGTGTGTAATAAAGTTGACAGTAGTACTTTAATTAACGTACGATTGTTTTTTCTAAATGTATTTAATATGAATAACCTTGAAGAATTTCGAACAACGTGGTAGAAACTAACTGATTATGGTCTCATTTATACCAAGCTTTAGAATGATTATGATGGGAAAACAGAGCTGCTTGGTCTTCTATACGATAATAATTAGAGCGACTTCTAAACTTTCCAGTGGCTACCGAGGTTACTTATTATCTTGCAAGTTCAGTCGAGTGCACCAATGCATATTGAACTCTTAATAGTGAACAAGATACTAACTTACCGATTACATCTGATTTAATACTGTTAAGGATTTCTGTAGAATCCGTTTTGGCTTCGGTATAATCTTTTACGGGCAAATTATCATCTTGTTTTGCAAGACTAGAGGAAATGTCGAATGACGAGCTAGCCGAAAATTCTTCATCGCTAGAACCCGAAGACAGCTCTTTGTCCATTTCCTCAATCCATAATCGAGTACGCTTTGCATTCAGCTGCTTTTCAGAGGAAATTACAGGTTGGACTTCCGTTTGTTTCTTTTCTTTCTTAACATTTTCTATGGCTAAACTCAGTGTAATGAATTTTGTATCAAGCGACCTTACCTATATCTAAGGCTCCTCGTAGTTCGTAAGCAATTTTACGTTTCTGTCGTTCATATTCACGATCTGAAAAACTATGTTCAGGTAAAAGACCCTGTTTTAATAGTTCTTGACGTTTTCGTCGTCTTTCAATATATTCCTCTGCTTTTTTACGTTCCCGTTCGTCAGCCGTAGCATACCATTCCTTTAATTTTTTTTCCAGGTTTACATCACGCATTCTCCTACCTGATAAGTCTCTGCACATTTCATGATTGGTTGTCTTCTCGATTTGACTCCCAATAGCCCGTAGCATAGATCCAAAACCCCCTTTACCACCGCGCAAACGATAGTGCACGTTCAACAAAGCACATTCAGGAATTTCTTCCATATTATTTACTATGCGCCCATTATATGTGTAATAAACATCGTCAGTATTACATCCATCATGTAACCAATCTGTATAAGTTATATATCTGGGAAACGGAGCACCATACAACGCCATCTGAAATGTCGAATTATTACTCATGTAAATCGTAAATCATAGAGATATACTGGAGCCAATATGTTTTAAAACGTAATCAAAGCTTCCTTGAAAACTTAAAAGGATAACATTAGAGTTCGAATCCTGCGAGGCGGAATAGTGGATACGCATTGCAGAAAAGTCCCATACTGGGACAAAATGGCCGTCCAGTGCTTCCAGGTTTTTCATGGTGTTCTAGCTTCAATTGATTCATGATCTCAACAATTGAAATTACTAAAGTCTCCACAAAATCCCCTTCTAAAAATTTATGAGCTAGATAAGCCGGGAGGGTAGATCCATGTGACTCTTGTCGAAATTCCCAGCACTACTGGTAGGGTGTTATATTATTCCACAGTTCTAGAGTTGGTCGTATCTCGTGTGTATTTCATGAAGACATTGAATACGAAGATCGAAATAAGATGAAAAGCTGTCAGACGTAGATAATGGTAACTTACACACAGGAGGATGTACAAAACGATGTCGGAGTATGGAAGGTACATTAGTCTATCAAGATCCCAAAAGATTAGTCACATAAAAATTAAGTACCCAAATAAGTCATTGCGTACTGATATAGTTGAACTATCGCGTGGAAGAAGTGGAAATGAGTATATTTTAGTTAGGGTGTTGATCTTTTGTTAGGAGACCGATTTATTGATTTATAACGAGCAGATATAGTTTTTTGGTGAGAACGCTCACAAAATTTATACTTCTAATCGCACTGAGAAAAAATGCAAGCGTATTCATGAATGCGTTTCACTCGCTCCAAATTCGAAGTTTTGTTTCAGGACTGGTCTTCAGTCAGTCATGTACAACGTTATTCCAGGCACATATATGCATCGGTCCAAGTTGCCATACCCCATTAGCACAACAAGGTGAACATCAAGTACATAGAAGTAGCTATTTTGATAGTAGTAATATATATAAATAAAGATTGCATATGAGGATATGATATAGTTAGAAAAATTTAGTTTGTAGAAGAAAAGGTATAAAATAATTTTAATCTAAGTGATTCAAATATTCATGCCTACACTAATGGCAGTTAAATTCGTTGTCCATTTTACTTTTCAACGACAAAATCTGGGTAAAGATTTGGAAAACTAGGTTGCCGGCCCAATTTTCGACTTCTGTTAGGTTTCCATCTGAGAACCAAAGAACGAGTATTTTATTCAGGAGTTCGCTCTGTTTACTTTATGGCTATGAAACGTGGTTTATGGAAATAGACGATATTCGAAGGTCGCTACTGTTCGACTATAAATACCCCTTAACCACTGCTGGTGTTACGTGGAACAACCAAAACCAACCCTGAACTACGGTATAAGATATTAGGCAAAAATTATAAATCGATTGGGGTTGTGAGTCCTCATTGATTGAGATGGTTAGAACACATAACGTATACTAAGCCAACCTTTACTCTGATGCACGGTTAGCTGATATGAAAGTGGGTTGAAGGAAAGCTAGGGGCACACCAACTCTTGATTTGAGTCACGCCCCCAAATGCCCTGGTTCGGCCGAGATACTCTCACATGGCCACGCGTGTACAGCCTCTACCAGGGAAGTCCTACTCACTGCTTTCTCGTGGCGGGGGTGTTGTTTACGAAAATGAGAGGACGAAAAGCGAACGTCCGGCGCTTTACCCGGACCCCAAACCAATGGTGCACATGGGCCCCAGTATCCTGCGGGAACAAAGGGCGTATGAACCAATCGTTGGTCACCGGCTACCATGAGGCTGCATCTCCTCACGATGCTCCACTGCCTTGTGGATCAGACCTTTAGGTCAAAGGCTCGGGGTGTGGCCCCCTAAGATAACCACCTGATTCGGTTTGGGCACCCGGGCAGTATCACAGCCCACACACAAATATGATGAACTGCCTATAATTATGGAAATTACTTTACTTGCTTCAACTAACAATCAAATGATTCAAGTGATTATTATTACTCTTCTTCTTATTATTATTAATTATTGTTATTATTTACATTATTCACCCTCTTTTATACTTATACAGTGGCTTGTCTTTGGCGGAAATTCGACTGTATCTAAACGTTCTTGAGTCACTGTCCGGTTGAAAATTGTACGTAACCACTGAATATGAGTACTGAAGCAGTTTTTCTGAAACCACGTGCATCATTCAAACTGGCTGCCTTCAACGTTCGCACACTTATGCAGGTTGGACAACAGATAGGGCTGGCTATGTCTTTGGAAAGTCTTAATTGTGATGTCTGCCGTCTATCCGAGACCCGTATTCAAGACTCTGATGAAGTACTACAAATTCGCTGTTTGTCTGTCGTTTCGAAAAGCTTGTTTTACGTGCGCTTATCCGGGGACCCCGTGGCATCTTTGTCTGGTCTTGCTGGCGTTGGTGTCGCACTAAGCGCTAGAGCTGAGGCAGCACTAGTCGATTGGATCCCCATTAACAGTCGGTTATGTGCTGTTAGATTAGAAAGTTCCATCAAAGTGAGAAGAAATCAGCGTGAGAAACGATGTCTTTTCGTCATCTCCGCCTATGCCTCGACAGATTGCAGCCCGGATCCAATCAAGGATGAGTTTTACCACCAGTTATCTGTTCTTCTCCAGAAAGTGCGTTCGACAAATATTGTAGTACTAGCCGGAGACTTGAATGCGCAGGTCGGGCGTTTAGGCACAGAAGAGAGTCGTCTAGGTGGCAGATGGGGACTTATCGGTCACAGGACAGATAACGGGGACCGTCTACTGCAACTGTGCACAGAGCACAACCTTTTTCTAGCTAGCACTAACTTCCGGCACAGTCATCGCCGATGTGCTACCTGGCGTCCTCCCTCTGCGTTACGTAAGGAAATTGGGCAAAGCTTGCGTAAGGACCAAGGAGCCTGGTGGTCGGAGCGTGCTAATGAGTTGGAGGTAGCAGCTGCATCTGGTAACTACCTGAAGCTCTTCCAACTCATCCGAGCCACTGGCAGCAAGAAGTCTGGTGTGAGCGAAACAATCTGCGAGGATGATGGAATGCCAATCACTAACATCCATCGACGTCTTGGACGATGGGCAGAATTTTTCAAAAGGCAGTTCAACTGGCCTGCTGCTCCGGCAACATCGGTCAGACTGTCCTGCCCTCGATGGTCGGTGACGACTGATCCAGAAAATGAGGCGGAAGCCCGCAAGGAACTCCAACTCTTGAAACGTTACAAATCACCTGGCCCAGATGACTTACCTCTGGCTCTTTTTAAATATGGTGGTGACTTTCTGACTAAGGAATTGACGACGTTGTTTACAAAGGTTTGGGAACTAGAGAGTGTACCAACGTCATGGAATGAGTCGATAGTTGTCCCTATCTTTAAAAAGGGTTCACGTCGTTCCTGTAACAACTATCGGGGGATAAGTCTACTTCCGATTGCGTCCAAGCTATTGGCTTCCGTCACACTTTGTAGGTTGTTCAAAACCCGAGAAAGATTGACTCGCGAGGAGCAGTCTGGGTTTCGTTCTGGCCGAGGATGTATTGATCATATCTTCACCCTCTGCCAAATGTTAGAACACCGCCATACTTATCAAAGGCCAACAATCATAGTGTTTCTTGACATCAGGGCTGCCTTCGATTCGTTGGATAGAACTGTTCTCTGGAAATGTCTATTGAAGAAGGGTGTGCCTGAGAAGTTCATTAACATCCTAAAAGCCGTATATACAAACACCTCAGGCAGAGTGAGGGCATACAACCACCTCTCTCCATTGTCCCATTCGAGTAGTGGGGTTAGACAGGGTTGCCCAATCTCACCATTCCTCTTCAACTTTGCCATCGATGACTTCCTGAAAACAGCTCTGATGAATGTAAGTAATGGTGGTGTGGATCTGTTGCCTGGAGAAAGACTTCTCGACCTTGAGTATGCGGACGATATTGTCTTACTGTGCGATAATGCCCAAGCCATGCAATCCGCACTTAATCAGTTGGCAATCAGTGTCCGTAGGTACGGTATGTGCTTTGCACCTTCGAAGTGCAAAGTACTTCTACAAGACTGGCAGGATTCTAATCCTGTACTCACCCTGGATGGTGAACAGATAGAAGTAGTCGAGAAGTTCATGTATCTAGGTAGCGGTGTAAGTGTTGGTGGTTGCATGAGTGATGAGGTCAATCCACGTATGGTGAAAGCCAGAGCGACTTATGCCAATCTGGGCCATCTTTGGCGCCTTCGTGATGTTAGTTTGACTGTAAAGGCCGGATCCACAACGCGTCGGTGAGAGCAGTTTTGCTCTATGCTTGTGAAACCTGGCCTTTCTGAGTTGAGGACGTTAGACGAATCTTTGTGTTTGATCATCGTTGTCTCCGAAGGATCGCTGGCATCCAGTGGTAACACCATGTCAGTAATGCAGAGGTTCGGTATCGTGTGTTCGGGCACAGAGATGATAATGCAATCGATGTCACCATCTTGAAACACCAACTTCGGTGACTTGGACATGTTTTACGAATGTCGTCCTAGAGAATTTCACGTCGTGCATTATTTGCCGATATTGGGACTGGTTGGAAGAAGTGGGGAGGTGATCAGTGCACGACATGGTGTCGTGGCATGAAAGAATGCTGCAAAGGACTGGCTTGTGTTGGTCCTTCACGACTTCCTGGTTGGGGTCCGAGAGATAGTGCTACACAGTGGCTAGAGACGTTATCAGATAAGGCTCAGAATAGAAGCCAGTGGCGATCCTGCTGTAACCTTCTTTTACTTTATTCATAAAAAGTAGTCCTTTCTCTCTCAACTGAAAGATCACTTCTGATTGTACCTTTCCGTCCCCTCGTTATTACTATTGTTATTACTACACTACCTTACACCAATCTCTTCGTCATTGTTCTCTTTTTTTTCGAACTCTCATTGTTTTGTTTGGCGCATATATTTTGGCGCTCTCTTGCACCAATATGTATGCGTCCAAATAAAATAAATAAATAAAATAACGATTTGAGACACACTGATAAATGTAAATCATAAGGTTGTCAGTGATCAGTGGCCGAAAAGCTCAAAAGTAGTCTGAATAACCTAAACGTACCTATCCTAGATTTGAAGTTCAAGTATGCCCTTCATATATAACTTTTTATCGTGTCCCTAAACTGTTTTCTTATTATTTACTCTCTCATTATCACTGCTACAACACTCAAAGTCAGCTATAACTATCAAAAATAACATCAGTCTGAATGTTTTTAAACGTACTGAATTCCTCATGCAAATTTATTTTGATAAAGTAATGGTATGATTACTTATGATATTCTGAAAACTCAATCGGTTATTTGCCCATGTACAGGTTATAAGGAGTAATATGGTTTGATATAAAGGAAAAGACAAGATTACAGATGACGAATTATTGAATTCCCAACAACCGATCCATCAGTTTTAACCATTAATTTTACCACTGAACCAAAAACTATGTAAAGAGTGCACGAATTTACGCAACAAAAGCGTTCAAAGGGCTATTGATAACTAAATGTTCACTAACTTGAAAATGTACATGCTGGAATCTGTCGTAAAGTACATCAACGCGTCGGAAAAAAAAGTAAATCAGCATACATTCACACAAAAACACTTTCATAGTTACCCAGATTTGAAAATGTAGTTTCATGTTATTTATGGGTGGATTACAAGACCAATCAATACTAAGTCATAGACGCTGAACAACACTATTTCCCAATTCTGGGAGGAAGTTTATACGCTTTGGTGAAATGATACCCAAACCGCAAAATAGAATGATCGGGAAGATAAATAAATCAAATTTCTATGAGAAAACTGTTGTTTATGTTATAAAAACGTGTATAAATAAACTAGTGAAAATTTTCATGTGACCAAATTTTAAAAGAATTTCGTCGAGCCACTAACGATTTTAAGCCTGGTATCTAACTAAGGAAATCATTTAAGCTGTATTCATAACTGGAACTTCTGCAAAAAGAACGAGTTAAGAAATTATTTGCTCCTTAGATGTCATAAAACCATTCTTGATCAGTATTCGATCTAATATTAGATCGGATAATGAAATAAGTGGATTCGTGTTTGAAACTGAACAGCACACAAATCAGAAAAAGGGGAAAAATACTGTGAGCTGAATTCCGGCAAATCAAATATAATCACTTACATTTGAAACGGAAAGTGATTAACTGTTAGGATGTAACGAAAGCCAAAGCGATGTAACGAATACACTCAGTGTTACCTCCACTTACGGTACATTATCCAATACTATTGTCACGAAAAATGTTTGAATGATTTTGAACGGAATAGAAGAAACTTGCGCTTAACAGACTTCCGTGTCTAATAGCAATGGATCGCTGATACCTTCAGGTAGAAACCTAGGTAATTTTATCGATTTAAGAAGAAAAGGATGACAAAACTGGTGTATATATATGTCATCGCCAAATATACTCTTCCGATCTCCTCGAAAAAAAAGATCTGTAGTGGTAAATAAATCCCCAAAATAAATAGCTCTAAGTTTTCGACATTGGATGCTGACCATATGTTTTAGTAGACTCATCTAGCTGAAGGCGCTCGGTCATGCATCCGCACCAGATCACGTGTGGTAACGCCGTGCTCAACATCAACCGCAATCGTTAGCCAGATCAGATCAGAGGATTCCGATATATTGGTCATCGCCAAATATACTCTTCCGATCTCCTCTCAAAAAAATCATTGGTGAGACCGACGTGATCTGGTACACCTAATTGCAACTGTGAGTCTGTTCCTTTTTGGGATTTTTATATATCATTGCCTTATTTTTTTATTTTTTTTAAACATTGTGATTTTTTTTCGTGTTTTTCTTGTATATATATTCATTTTCCCCTCATTCATTATCGTACTTCATACTTCATCATGACTGAACAGACACCCAAAGTACTCAAGCTTAAGACTTTGTCTCCGCCTTCGTTTCAACTGATGCCTTTCTGGCTCGACAACATCGAAGCCTGGTTTTGCTACGCAGAAGCCGACTTCCACGAGCACGGCGTGTTCGACACACGTGCACAATTCCTCGCAGTAGTCAAGGCACTACCGCGCGAATTCAACAGGTACGTAACACCTAGTATGTTTACTAGTGATGTTTCCGATCCTTACGAAATCTTAAAACGCTCGATTCTTAAACGAGGAAACCTAACCGATCGACAAAGGTTAGGTCAACTCTTCAATGACATCGACCTGCAACACGGTTCTGCGACAGACATGTTGCAACGGATGAGAGAGGTAATAGGCCCAAGAACATTCGATGAAGGTCTATTCAAACACCTCTTCTTGTCAAAACTTCCCCAACAGGTGCAAGCAGTTCTGATCTCGTTCCAGAACAACGCCTTAGACGAGCTAGCTGCATCTGCCGACCGCATTTTAGAAATTATGAAACCTTCTACTACCGAGGTATTTTCAGTCAAAGACAAACCTCAAACGACTCAGAATGACATAACCGAGTTATGTCATAGACTCACGCGTTATCTTAATCTTCGTGCCGACCGTAAGAGATCGCGCACTCCACGTAGAAGCATTCCACGTAAGCGATCTGTCTCAAGGCCACGAGAGACAGATAACCCCGACTGGTGCTGGTATCATAACCAGTATGGAAAGTTTTCCAGAAATTGCAGAAAACCCTGCAATTTTCCCAACACGAAACAGAGTGACTCGAAAAACAACTCGGGAAACTTCCAAGCCAGCACGCGTTAACGGCAACCGTAGCCGGCGAACATAGCCGTCCGTTATACGTCACAGATGTGACAACGAGAGTTCGCTACCTCGTCGACACTGGCGCAGAAGTTAGCGTTCTCCCAGCAAATCCTAACGACCGGCTTCACGAATCGGCTCTTAACTTACAGGCGGCAAACGGAAAACCGATCGCTACGTATGGCAAAAGGTACGTTTACCTTAACGTGGGTTTACACAAACCCATTCACTGGATTTTCGTTGTTGCAGATGTTTCTATGCCAATCATTGGTATGGATCTTCTACAACACCATAATCTGATCATCGACACGCGCAAACGGAGGCTAGTAGACGGAAACACTAATTTGTCCGTTTGCGTAACTTCTTTTACTGGTTGTAGAGTATCCCCAGTCACAGTTAAACATATGATAGACCCACTCTATCAACCACTACTCGATAAGTACCCTGGGATACAACAAACTCAACCGAAACTACCGTGTTTAACCAGCAATGTTACACATCACATCACGACTACAGGACCACCTGTATTCTCTAAAGCACGACGACTAGCTCCTGAAAAGCTAAGGTTAGCGAAAAACGAATTCGATCACATGATGGACTTAGGAATCATACGACCGTCGGCGATTGAACGCGAAAACCATTCGCGATCGTTACCCGTTGCCTCACATTCACGATTTGACAGCTACCTTGAAAGGTACAACTGTCTTTTCGAAAATCGACTTGGTTAAAGCGTATAACCAAATCCCTATGGCTACTGACGACATACCGAAAACAGCTATCATAACTCCCTTCGGACTCTATGAATTTTTGAGAATGCCTTTCGGTCTAAGAAATGCTGCTCAAACATTCCAAAGATTCATAGACGACGTTTTTCGAGGTCTCAACTTCGTACACGCGTATGTTGACGACTGCCTAATCGCAAGTCCGGACAGAGAAACACATCTCAAGCATCTGGATCTTGTTTTCGAACGATTTCAAAAACATGGCATTACTGTAAACGTTCAGAAATGCCAATTCGGAACCGACTCATTAGACTTTCTGGGACACACTATCGATGCTCAAGGTATCCGACCCCTTAGAACCAAAGTGGCGGCCATTCTGGATTACCCAGAACCGACCACCGTCAAGCAACTACGCACGTTTAACGGCCTCGTAAGTTTCTATAGACGTTTCATACCCAAATGCGCATTACTTATGAAACCTCTTACCGACCAACTTCGTGGAAATGCGAAATCCATTAATTTGGACGACATCGCAAGAAAAGCATTCTCCACAGTTAAGGAGCTGATTGCTAAAGCAACAATGCTCGCACATCAGGACACCGAAGCACCGATTAGTATCGCAGTAGACGCATCGGACTCGGCTATCGGTGGCGTCTTACAACAATGGGTTAACAACTCCTGGCAACCCTTGATATTTTTCTATAGAAGGTTGCTAGGCACCGAATCGAGGTACCGCACATTCGGTAGGGAACTCCTAGCTATGTATTGTGCTGTACGGCATTTCCAACACTATATCGAAGGCCGTGAATTCACTCTTTTCACGGACCATAAACCGCTCACTTTCTCGTTAAGCTCTCCTTCAGACAAGTACTCTCCCCGTGAGTCTCGACAACTAGACTACATTTCGCAGTTTACTTCAGATATTCAACATATTTCTGGAGCAAACAATGTAGTCGCAGAAGCTTTGTCTCGCATAACTTCCTTGAACAGTTTCCAAGGAATCGACCTTCTTAAACTCGCCCAGCTTCAAAAAGAAGACACTGATCTTCAGCGCGAATTATCGTCTACAACCCTCAAACTACACATCGAACAGATGGGAACAGGTAACGAAACCTTACTTTATGACACATCTACAGGTAGGGATCGCCCAATCGTGCCGAAACATTATCTACGCAATGCCTTCAACACATTGCACAAACGTTCTCATCCAGGTGTTCGTGCAACCATCAAGCTTATAGCAGAACGGTTTTGCTGGCCTGGAATGAATAAAGACGTGAGGGAGTGGGCACGCCCCTGTGTAAGCTGCCAAAAATCTAAGGTCATCAGACACAATAAATGTCCCTTAGGCTCATTTAAAACTCCCGATGCTCGTTTTGACCATGTTCATCTGGATTTGGCAGGACCTTTACCAGATTCAAATGGATACTCTTACCTCCTAACCTGCGTAGACCGTTTCACGCGATGGTCAGTAGCAGTACCCATCAAGGACATCACTGCTGAAACAGTGGCTCGCGCCTTCGTCGAACGTTGGGTAGCAAACTTCGGCTGCCCTTCAACCATCACTACAGATCGCGGACGTCAGTTTGAATCTGATTTTTTCCGTCGTCTGACCACACTTTTAGGAACCACTCGCTTCCGAACGACCGCCTACCACCCACAAGCAAACGGGTTGGTAGAACGCTTTCACCGACAACTAAAAGCTTCACTATCAGCAGCAAACGTTTCACAGTGGACCTATGATCTTACACTCGTCTTACTAGGTATCCGCAATGCAGTGAAAGCTGACATTGGATACACTGCGGCTCAACTCGTTTATGAAACGACACTTCGACTTCCAGGAGAATTCGTGGATCCTTCATCCTCTTCAATGAACATGGATCTAACCTCCTACACGAACAGGCTTACAAACGCAATGCGTTCAGTTAAACCTGCTTTCACTCGACCTCAATCAACTGATGTTTTCGTTAAACCTGACTTACGATATAGTACACACGTTTTCGTTCGTCGAGACTCGCATCGACGACCATTCGAATCAGCGTACGAAGGACCCTTCAAAGTTTTTCAACGTGAATCTATGTACCATATAGCCGATAAGAACGGAAAAACGATAGCATCAGCATCGATCGCTTAAAAGCAGCATATTTAGAAGGAAATCCTATCTACGTCAATTTTCCTTCGTTACAGTCGAACGACGCGGCTCCACTCATAATTCCTCAACCGACAACCAACACTAGCGATGATACTCCGAATGTATCTGAAAATATACCTACAACGACGCGTCCTGGAAGAAGAGTAGGATTTCCAGAACATTTAAACGGCTACTGCACATGAGGCACTACTCGACATTTTATATTATCTCGGTCTTTCTTTTTAACGATATATAATTTTTTTTTAAAGAAAGAAAATGTTAATATGCCTGTATATTTATATTTATATTTTAAAAAACAAAACATAAAAAACATTTTTTAACGCTATTACGTGCGCTTGCGTATATTTTCCATTTTTTCGCCGACATTGTGTTTTACGCACATGCGAGTGTATTTCGACGTGCACTTACACTTTCTGTTTTCTTTTCCAGGACGGCTGGAAAAGAACGATGCAGTTCACGAGGAGTCGAAATTTTCGTCGTAACTATGTTGTATCTCGGTCCCATATAGTAAGGAAAGACGACCAGACGCTGCTACACTTAGTAAGCTATCAGAAGAGTGTTTACCAACGACAAACTCGTTGGGTTTAAACTTCTGGCTGGCCACGTCTTAGGGTCGTCGCTGCCCCACTAGGGGGGAGTG